CGTCGTGGCTTCGTCCACCCGTCGCCACGGCCTTGTTCCCTTGTCGTCAGCTGCCGAAAGCAATGGCGTCAGCTTTTTGCCTAGTGACTAACACATACCTTTAGAACTTAGATAAGTTAAAGGGTATGACCATCCTTCAGGCGAGCCTAGCTTAGCTCCTAAGCAGCACAGGCTGGCGGCTGCGCCCAAATGCAAGCTGCTTTGTGGAGGCAAGGTTAGATGCCTTGATTTGAAGATGCTGCCAGTAATGTTAGGTCTTGAATCTTAAATTCCACTGCGGTGCCCACATGCTGCAATCCATCACCTTGATTCAGGTCCACAGGGAAGCTCAATCAGTCCTTCGGCCTCACCCACACATGAGCCAAATCCAAGCAAACCGCGACTCATTTATGAACAAGTTGCAGAAAGATGGCCTGTTTCGTTCCAGGGCCTGCTGCCGGTGTCCGGCACGAAGTCATTATTGGTCCAGTCGTGGACTTGGATGTGACAGGGGGATGGTGTGGAAAGGCATGGCTGTCGCAAGTCCGGGAGCTTGCCATTTTGCTTTCGCTTTGCATGAACTTGCTCTTTCGCGTGCTGCTTGAGGCTCGGAACCGTGCATGAGCTGTTCAACGAAGTCGAGCACTCCTCATTCTCGATCTCGTCCTTCCTCTTTGCGGATTCGACACAGCTTAGGCGGACCCTGTTTTGTTGCTCCGTGAGCAATCCCTGTGGCCAAGCGTCATGCCAGGGCCACACTGTTGTTGTCCATTTACGTTGCAATCTACTTCTTCTCCGTTGCACGGGCGCCCAACAGCATGATTGCACTCCACGTGTCAGATGCCATGTAGCATCTCTCCAAGTCAGTCTGCAACACCAAGACTCAAGAACATGCCATCGAGTGAAGTTAAGGTCAGCATGTACTACCACATGACGACAGTGCGACCGGTGGGCAAAGGGACTCCACTCCCAGGCTATACCAAAAGGGAAACCTGGCGCAGAACAGTTAGCGATCTTTCGGGCATCATGTCAGCCACCCCCCTATGGACATGTTTTACCATGCAGTCTTCGATGCCACCATCTAGCCAACAAGACTGTGCTCGTAGGAGAGTGGTTTTCTCTGCTTTCTCCACATTGCGTTCCAAGGAAACCTGTCCCGAAGACGAGATTTTGCAGAGCCATTCCTACTTGAGCTGGCTGTGCGTGCTCGGCCCTGAGGGGGAAGGGCAGCGCAGATCGGTCATGCAAACTCATCAGGCACGGTGAAAGCTGCGTGCACGTCATTTGTGCATCATTCTGCACCAAGGACCTGGTTGAGCCCCATGGTGGCTCGCCTAGGCACAACGGCATTCTGCTTGTGTGCAGAGCTTCAAGATGCTGAACTCGTCGAGTTTGGGTTTAGGTCTATCAGGAATAAGGAACAATAACATCAACGACTCTGCTGGCCGCGATGCGCCGGCATGTGCTGTTATATGAGTTAGGGACCTTTGCCCATTTTGGGTATCAACTACCGCAAACCCAAAACCCAAACACTATCCCAAAGTTGTTGAGTCTGAACACAAACAGTGCAGATTCATTGGGTCTAATTATTGGGGCTAACATGTTGTACTTCTGAGTGGACAGTATATACGGAAATTGCATTATGCCCACCTCTCGTGAACAATCCATGTAATGTACCCGAGTACCTTACAAAGTTTAGGTCGTCCGTAAAATCATCCATGATTACTAGTATACTGAAAAAATCTTTGTCTTTGTTCTTGTTCTGGAATTCTATTACTTTGTGTTGGATGTCTATTATCTCGTGTAAGGCAGTTGCGCCAGAATGACCAAAGTTAAAATATATTTGGTCCATTTCCAGGTCCACTTTCATAACATCCTTTATGTACTTTTTCACTGCATTGCATGTGTCATCCACATCTACACTAGGGCTGAATATGTAGATTCTTCTAAAACTATTTCGGCAAATCTTCAGCATTAGATTCTGCATAAAAAATGTTTTACCACCTGTACTCGAGAAGCCACCGCCAACATTCTCGCTGGTAGAGGCGGCATCATTTCATACTTGCTGTTTTCGAACTGGTACTTGGGTACATCAATTGGTTTTACCATCGCTCAGTATGAACAATAGTCAGAGAACTATACGTTATAATCTATGAATTACGGTGATTATATTGATGTCATTGACAACCTTGAAGAAATAGAGCATATAACAATAACAACGCTAAGATATCGTAGGTGCTGTTCTTCTGTGATGGAGATATGTAAAGGGATTTTGCAATATGTAAAATCGAAGAAAACTAATATAGATTAGTGTGGGCGACACAAAGAAAGATAATAACAAAGATGAAAACGAGGGTGGACTTCAAGTTTATAGAGATGGTATGTCTTTTTTTTGCTTGTAGATGCAGAAGAAATGTTTTACATAAAAATAAGAAAAATTGCCGATGAAACAGGAAAAGTAATAATACAGGAGGGTGTCGAAACATCATCCTTAGCTTTCCGTAGAGGTACAACCCCACCAGTTCGACGAAGAACATTAACATTTGAAGAAAGAATAAAAGAACTTAGAGAAGATAAGTGAAGAAATTAATGTTTAACAAGTGAAGGTATCGACACAGGATTTAGGAGAGGAATATCAGTAGATGAACGACTTATACAATTACAGAAAGAAGTAGAACAGCTAAGACAAGTATTTGTGTTTACATTCCTTAGACTAATGTGTGAAAACATGAAATGTATTGTATATTGACAAAGTACGGTGCCCTCAATAGGACGGAACATGAAACACAGGAAGAAGGAGAAGATGAACCCGAAAATATCAAGCCCCCCTAATACCTACTGCATGTTTACACATGAACGAGAGAAAGGGCCAAAGAGAAGCATCTTGATACATCTATGTCATTTCATATACAGAAGATATATCCTTAATTAGCTCGGGATTCAGAGTTTTTCATAATTTGATTTATGAAAATTTTGATATAAAGGTTATCCAATAAAAGCTGTATTTTAAAACTTACTGTATGTAAAGATATGGCGGCTAAACCTGAGTTCAAACAAGATGTCGTGGACAGGCTCACGAGAATAGAGAAGATACTCAGCGAAAGGTTTACAAGAAGCTTTGACAGACTGCCAATTGATGCAATGTCTGAAAATAAAGAGATTGCATACTTGACGAAGCTGCGGAACAAAGACATTTTGCAACCCAAACCTGATACCCTTGAGTGTTACAAGCTAAAAGATGACGAAGAGACGAAAACCTATTCATAATCTTTTCATTTAAGAATAATGACTGCGTTAGATGATAATATTGTTGTTGATTTTGATACTGGTAGAGAGTTAAAACCACGATACATGCGATGTATTATGTGTAAGCACGTAAAACACACAGATGAGTTTACAAGTAAGCATTCCAAAAGGGTGTATAATAAATCGTGCAGAGCTTGTCTGGACAAACATGAATAATCTAGGTTTAAAAGGAAGGAATGAGTTCAGGCAGTTTTCTTAGGGAAGAACTCTTAAGAAAAAGGCACCCTAAATAGATAACCAACTTAATATATTGAGTGTTGAAATGAGTGAAAGAAAATATTGCAGTGGTTGTCGAATCATGCAGAAGGTTGAGAAGTTTAACGAAAGACATAAAACCTGCAACGTATGTAAATATGTCGTGAAAACAACCCGGACAAAGTTAAAGAGTGGAGTCAGAATAGCCTCAACAAAATCAAACGACATGTAATTGCTAGGTTAAGAAATACAAATTCAACCAAGATGAGCAGTCACAAGCACGTCAGTATAATCTGAAGAAGCTTGAGGACTCAGGTTTTGAAAAAGGTTGTTCCTAAACCTGAAAAAATTCATATGGCATGCGGGAAAGAATTATATTATTGCCATACTTGTAAGAGTTCTACGTTACCTTGTATGTGGAGCAGACACTTTAATGAAGCAATGCGCATAAAGTGCGAAGAAAGATGGAAAGCAAGAGACCAGCACTGATATCTTAATATTCAAATTAACTTATTATAAAGCCCCCCTATACCCATACTATGACCCATAAACTGAATAAACCTCGCCTTGCCCATTTCGGGGTTTGAGCATTTGGGTATACACTGGGATAGTATTTGGACTGATATTTGGGGTTTTGGGTTTGCGCTGGTTGATACCCAAAAATGGCGATAATGGGCAAAGCAGTCCCAAACTGTTATATGTTGGTGGGGCCGAGTTCAGCATGTGCACCACCGCTTCCACATCCCTGGTGAGGACATTCTTGGAACAGTGCGATGTCGAAGTGCAGCCCGGACGAGGTCCCTCCTGTGAACGGGCCGGAGTTCCAGGCCTGGTGTCTTCAACTGAATACCGCGGTTGTCACCAGTGCTTTTCCATAGCCCTACTTTTGCCTCACGGGCATCGTCTGCGGGAGCACAAAGGATTGGTTGGCTGTCCGAGTGCTGCGCCAGCAGTCGGACAGCCAGCCAGCTACCCACCCACCCATCCCACCTTCTACCTGCCTACCTACCTAGGTACCTACCGATCTACTTATCCGAACATGAGTGTGAAATGTGAGAGTTTACACAAGTCTGTCTGTCTGTCTGCATTGTCTGTCTTGTGTGAATTATGAGGTACTGTTTCTATTGTATGGATGGATGGTATGTATGGTGCTTGGGGTATGTATGGATGGATGGTATGTATGGTACTTGGGGTATGTATGGTACCTACGGTGTATTCGTTATGTATTATATGTGTGGTATGCAGGTTATGTATGTACGGTTTATGTGCATGCATGCATCCACTCTTGCGAACAGATTGCTGCAGTCGTGCTTGTGTGTTGAAATTCGAAAGCTGACTTGGCGAATCTTGCCAGCTCAGGGGCTACGTGTTGTCTAACCTCGCTAGCTCAGACGCCCAGCTTTTATGCAGGCACCAGACAGCTGCACGCAGCTTCCCCTGTCAGTCTCTTCCCATGACGTCATTGTTGGCATGCACCCTGCAATTCCAAAAAGGCGCCATATCTAGAGACAGCCCTGAGCCCAAGAAAGAACCCAGTGTCCTGGGGTCCTGGAGCGCGACCGTTTGTGTGAAGAGCCAAGCCCAATCTTACCACAGGCATTTCGCCAGTGCGAGAGATTCGAGGCCCTCTGGGAAGAGGAGGTTCGCAATCGTGGACAAGAGGAGGCCTGTGTAAATTGTGTAAATTGATTACCTCGCTCCCCTGTGTTTTCGAAAGACGCTGTGCAGGCAAGCATACTGCGAGTGGTCTGCAAGCTCTGGGGGTACCAGCGGCTGGTGGCCTGCCTGCTTGAAAACTGTTGTCAGCAGGTCGCCTGCTGTGAGAAGCCTCGTTCGGTAGATCTTCGGAAGAGCTCGCAACGCCGCAACTCTGTGCCCAGTTCTGGTTCCACATGTCGCTTTTCGTGCATGTGGTCCTCGGCTGCCTGGTGGCAACTAGTGAAGCTCGAGTCAAACACTGTTGTTTCTCGTGCTGTTTGCAGGGGTAAGTCTAGGTGTGGCGGGTGCGATTATTCCGTGTTGCCAAGGCAATCTGTACCAAGTGTTCCTGATTCAGATGTCCCTGAGCTACTTCTTCTGGCTGCAGGAAGAGGCTGTGTCGTATGGGTAAGCAGTTGGGGTTCCGGCTTTCGGCTCAAGAAATTCTCTCCAACGGTTCGCCCTGCTTGGCAAAGTTCCGGTGTGGAACCCCACACGACATCAGTTCTATTTCCTCAAGCCTCCTTTGAAGCGCGAGGTGCATCAGAATAACGGCCAACTCCCGGACATGACCAAGCCCATCTTGGTATCTATTGTCTCCTGGCTCGCATGGGAAGCTTGGAATCCTGGAAAGCAGAAAACGAACTCCACGAACCCAGGCAGCCTTCTCGGCGCAGCCACTTGTGTGGACCTCAGCCGTTTGGGAGATCTCCGCTTGGGCTGGGGGCTTTCCACGTACGGGGCCCCCGCCGTGGAGTGAAACTGCAACACTTCTTGTTTGAGGTCTTCGCCATCCTGTGCTCGTAACTTGGCCGCCTATTCCTGGGCCACGGCTTTCGGCTTTGGGAGGCTGCCGCGGCATGTCTGACATGTCGACAGGTTCGAAGCCAACCTTTCCATGAAGTTCGACCAGTGCATCGCCGGTGTGGCGGTGTTCTCAGGAGACGTTGCGATGCACAGCAACAGCCCGCAGCAGCCGTCGCGTTTTCACTCTGGTTTCAGGGAATATAGTGGTTTCCTCTCAGCACTTGCTTACAGCTGAGGCCGTGGCTATGTTCAAGTGCCTTGTCTGATGTCTTCAGAAACCTCCCTGCCTCGGTTTGCTTGAGAAAGAGGTGGTTCCCTTCAATTCCTAAGAGCGCCTCGGGTGCTCAGTTGTGGGAGCCGACTCGCCCTCTCAACGATGCCGAGCTCGTAGACCCAGGAAGACGCAGCGTCTGCCGGCATCGGTTCTCAGCCAAGACAAGCCGGTTGGATCCGAGGCCCCGAAAGCACCGTCTCTCTCTTGGGAATCTAGGGTTGTTGCGCTTGTGCATTTTCGAGCGAGAGTCCCACTGTCGCTTTCGAGTGGGAGTCCCACTGTCGCTCTTGCGTTCGATTGATCGATGCCTTGTCTGTCTGCTTGTGCAATGTGCAGCTGGTTGCCGAACGGCGCTGGAAGGACCAACACCAACTGGCCGAGAAGGTGTCCAAGAAGCCCAATGTGTTTGAGCTGCATCATGTAGAGTCTATGTAGAGACATGCTGTGATCTTTCAGAGGGCTTCCTTGGCAGTCTAGGGCATCGGGTTCATTCCGGGCCTCTGACTCAATTTCAGGGAGGCCTTCTTGCTCACAGCTTGTGCTTCAGGCGATGATGACGATCAACAATGACGTGATCGGCAATTTCCATGGGACCCTTGGGCCGCACGAGCCGTGAAGCCGGGGGTCAGCATGTCATGGTTACGTTCGGATATGAATTCCAGACTGACTTCGTCAATCCCTCGCATTCCTTGTTGAGGCTGACATTCAACGTGTCCTTGACGATCAATGCCACGGTGACAGTGGCCGTCCTGCTGGTGCTCATGGCTACTGGGCGGCAGCCCAAACAGTTGGACAAGCCTCGTCATCATATGCAGTCTGCGCCAAGTCAACCAGAAACGCATGTATGGTTCAGTTACTTCAGCTGTTTAAAAGTCTGACTTTAAGACGCCATGTGATTCGCAAGCGCTGTGAGGCTTTCAAGCTGCGCCTGGCCACTCTCTTCTGCTTGGCGGTCGCCATTCCAGGCCAGGCGGCTACAAACCTTCGCCTCGGGTCCCCCTTCAACCCGGGGGGTGCAAAGGTCCCCGACATTTTGGGTCCGATGTCCAAGCTGCTCTTTTTCGGAGGGCTCGGGGTTCACAGCAGCGATCCTGGGAGAAAGGTTTTGAGAAGACGCTTCTGTGCAATGCAGTAGTTTCTTCGGAGCTTCCACAGTTTCAGTGTCAGCGAAGCACTGACCCCTTTCAGCCCTCACCGTGTCGGTGATCCTCAGCGGAGCGATGGGGATCAACATGATGCAGTTGCAGGATGTTCAGGACAAGCGCCCCTTGGCATAAGCCCTTCCACCTGAGGACGTACATCTTGTTGAGAAAGCTTACTCACCTTGACTGTCAGAGATAAGGCGACTGAAGTTCAAGGGCACGTGAAGCCAGAGCTCAGGTGTCTATTTGCTCCGAGAAGTCTTGAAGGGCATTCGCATCGTGAAATGTTATGCCTGGGAGTCTGCGATGGAGGACTGCTCTGACTCTGCCGAGTAGAAGTCCGAGTAGACATCTCCTAAAGAATCGTTCGGAGTCTTTGATGCTGGCAGGAACAGATCAAGAGGATTCGTGGCAGAGAGTTGTCCATGCTGGGAGTCTACTTCAGGCTTTGCACCTTGGCTCGCAATACCGCGCGCAGATTCTGTGCGGCATCCAGGGGCCAGGGGCATGCGTCGACAGAAGGGTTCATGCCCATAAGTCGACTAACGGGATGCGATAGCTCATGCCAAGGCAGCCATTTCGTCGTTCTCTTCAATCTCTTTCCTAGGCCGGCCGGGGCCGAGTGGTGGTGATGTGTCGGAGTTAAACCGTTCCATGTCAGCATCTTCGGCCTCGCAGTTAAGAGGTGATACACGCATGCTACTGTGGAAAGGTTTCATCTTTGCTTTCGCCACGCGGTGGATAGTGAACTTGCAACAGTTGAAGCATGAAATAGATATTGAACAATCAAACGATCATCGTTTAGCACTTCAAGCATCCAAGATATTTGCCTGCATGGTCTAGGTAATCTAGAAAGAGCACGGGCACTGAATCCAAGCGCCTTCTCAATGGAGGAAGCCTGAACATCATCACTTCCGGCAGTTTCTGTTAGCGGTGGTCACGAGTCACGAGCAGAAATAATGTGACTGCCTGCGACAGGGTGCTGACAGCTGCCGGTCTTTGGGGCTTCCTGCACCTGCTACTTGGTGGTGGTTGGCCGTTACGTGGACCCTGCAGACCACTTGCTGCTGAAGGTTTAGAGAAAAGCTGTGATGTCCAGTTTTCCATGCAGCCAAATCCCAGTGCGCCCTGCAGAGGATTCGCAAACCTGACTCCAACTTAAACCCCTTAGCTACAGACCCTGGTGCATGACTAAGACTGCACAAAAATGAAGATTGCTTGATTATGGTGCCTGAAACCACCACCTGAGAGCTGCCAAGACATACTGTACAAACCTTGGCGATGGCGAAGGCGTTCCAACGCATGTCAATCGTAGCGCTTCTCAGAAGGACCCGCTGACACAAATGCAGACCCCATGGGGCATGCACTGTCATGATGTCAAGTATGCGTAAGTATGTTCTTGACCTGAAAAGCACCTCCCAAAATCCCCAGCTCCAAGTTGTTTCAGCGACCCAAAGTTCTCGTGACGATAGTCTTGAAAGTGCGAAAACGATTGAAGCCGCCGCAGAATGCCATCAGAAACAGAAACGAGCAATAGAAGCTGAGAAGGCTGAGATGTTTCCAAGGTACGGCAGCAACGACCTGGCCTCGATCTTCGCTTGCTTGCAGATCCTGGCTTCTTTGAGGCTCGCGATCCACATGAGCCAGTGAGAGAGCGAGGGAGAGCGAGAGAGAGAGAGTGCCAAAGTCTGCACTTTGTCAACTCCGGGGAACGGGTTGTTATGTTATCATGCATCTTTGGTCTAAGCCTAGGTTGCTGACTCGCTTGTCACACCCTCTGTCAAACCCCTAAGCATTGGGGGGCCAAAACGGCCGGGGGGTCTAACCAACCCCTCACTCACGCCCTGGAGAAGAAGAAGGAGAAGAGAGAGAGATCAAGAAAGAGAGAGCGAGAGAGAGAGCGAGACAAGCTCAACTCTCCCATGCCCCGAAGTGAAGTAAATTGAAGACCCACTCAATTTGTCTGGAAAAAGGGTCACATCGACACCCCAACCATGCGTGAGTGGGTCAGTGACTTAGTTGCCCTTGTAGGTCTATGCAAGGAGAACCTGTGAAGCACTTCAATCAAGCCCCCGGACGGAGGGCCAAACAGGGCCTGCCCCAAGCAACCAGCAGGATACTCAGCTGCCCAGTTGTGGTCTTCCTAACCAAGCTTGATACTGTTCTTACGCATTTCAACAGCCCCCCCCTGACTTGGCCGCAGGGCGGAGAGCTCGACGCTGTCTGGAGGCATTCAGCGCCTCATCACCGTCCGCATCAGTGCTGCCGGGGCCTATGGGTAATGGGGGCTAGTGGGCAATGGGACTAGGACCAGGACGTTTCTGGCAAAATGTCAAGTCCGAGCAGCAAGTAGACAGAACTGACCAAGGTTTAGAGGATTAGGCTTCTGGGAATTGTATGGAATTGCGCCCCGGTTGCCGAGATACGTGTGGAGAATTACCTGAAGCAGGAAGAAGCACCAGTTCTCCCAGGAGAATCGCCTATACTCTTCCTGGGCTTGTTGATTGCTGTTGAGGTGTTCGCAGTGATTGTTTGGCCACTTGAAGCGAAGATGCTTTGAAAAGGAGTCAGTGTCCCGAAGTGGGTGGACATCTGGCCCAGGACGAAGAGCCCCAACCTCAGCTCACGGCGAAGCTAAAACGCAAAAAGGCGGTTCAGTCACCAGAGAGTTTGTTCCTTTTTGAAGGTGACGGCGGCCCACAGCCCAGCTTCAAGATCCGCGGTAGCTACCTCTTCTGCCGCGAGAAGCCTTCGGAGGTGGTGGCTCGGAAGGCGATTCATCGCTTGCGACGTTGGGACAGGAGTTGAGGAGCTTGGGAAGCCAACCCCCAAAACAGCCCAGAGATGGACCAAGGCTTTGCACGACCTCAATCTGGAGGTGAAGAAGGGCGCAGCTGGACGCGAACTGTTGTAAGGGCACGGAGTCCCTTTTGTTGTGGGTGTGTAGGTGTACTTGTGCAGTCGCATACTTGCGCCACGTGATGTTGAAAGTACATTATGATAACGCAGCGACAGTCATCACAAGCTTGCCAAACCGTGCCGGGCTGCCAATCTAGATCTGTACTAAGCTCAGATGCAAAAACTCGCGCAACTTGTTCCACACAGAGCTCCCAAAGACATTTTCTCGTTCTCTGCTGTTCTGAAGTCCGAGATCTTAATCGGAAGCTGGAAACTCCCATCTCGAGCCGGGTAGATCCCTAGGAAATGGTCGCGCTCGTCGGCGGCGTCGGATCTGGGTCCCTTGTCGGTTGTTGCAGCTTCGGTGCTTCAGGTTTCAGGTTTCCTGTACATGTACATCCATCCATCCATGTATGCATGCATATATACATATATGTATATGTATATGTATATGTATATGTATATGTAGATGTATAGATGTAGATGTAGATGTAGACGTAGATGTATATGTGTATATAACTGTTATATATATATATGTATGTATGTGCATGTATATGTATATGTATACGTATAGGTGATTGAGGGGAATCCGCATGGAGATGCTGGGAGGTTCCTTGTCGATTCGTCAAAGGCGGACGACTTGGATTCGATAAGCCAAGAGGGGACGACGTATTCTCCCTGGCTTAACTACCTTCGGTGCACTTGGACCTGAACGCGGAGCAGAAGCAGCAAAACCATATCTGGGAAGTCTTGCCCACCTGTTCAAGCGCCAGATAAGCCACGAACAATGACAAGACGGCCGAAGCTGACACGAAAATCCCTAACGAAGCCCTGGCTGTACATACTTGGTTCGCAAGGAAAAGCTTGCTTCTGGAAGCCGCTCTCGGAGAGCTTCATCCTGCCTCGGCCACTGGGCTTCTGCACATAGTAGAAGTGCATGATTGCGCAGGTAACGCTTGTATGCTTGTATTTGTTCTTTGGCTTGCTTCGCTTTGTCTGGACGCCGTGGCGCAGGCACCGAGAAAGAAAGAGCGAGAGACATCGAGATCTGGTTTCACGATTCTCTACAAAGCCCATGCAACAGGGTGCGCCTCTTGGTCCGGGGAGTTATGGACGCTCCCAGACAGAGAGAGAGAGAGAGAGGCCCATAGCCCTGACGAAAGAGAGAGAGAGAGAGAGAGTGAATAAAGAGAGAGGTATTTCAAGCAATGTATGTGTGTATGGATACTTGTTATGCTCTGTACACATCCATCGGTGCTTTTGCCTTGTGTCTACCATGGCGAAGCAGTGTATGCATGCAGGCAGTGGCAGGGTGCAGAAGTTTCCATGGCCGACTTGGGATGGCTCTGTTTGGGAAACTCCAGTCTGACCGAGGAAGAGAAGGCTTTCTTGTCTCGGCCGCACGTCTGCGGCTACAGCTGGCGGCTCAGGCATTGTGAGGCAAAGCCCGTCGGGCTTAATGTGAGTGTGTCTGGCACATGGCCTCAACCTGTGGCAGTTTCACATCTCTGGCGGATAGGAAACCATCTTACTTTACCATGCTTAAGTCTTAAATCGGAGACACTTCATGCCGGATCGAATGCCAGACTGAGGCGCCCAAGTGCCCCACATCGCGGAGGGCACCGTTCGGGACAATGTGGTGTTTGGTCAGGAATTCAACGAGGCCACGGTGGGTGCCGGCTTGTCTAGGTCCCGAGCCTGCTCGACATGTGCAGCCCTTGCAGGAGAGGTATCGACAGGCCGTTGCTGCTGCGGGCCTCGAGAGCGACCTAAAGCTCCTGCCAGGCTCGCTATCTGAATCTGAAGAATGAGACGTAGTGACGGCAACAGTCGAATCCCTTGTGACACATTGTGAAGTCCAATCCAAGGAGGCTCTTGAGAGCTCCAGTCTTCTTTTTGCTTGCGAAGCGTGAGCATCAAGTGCAGTGTAACGCCAGGATCAACACTTGGGAAATGCTATCTTGTTTTGCATCTGTTGGAGTTTGGCCAGCTGTTCTTCGGGAGACATGGGCACGACTGAAGACATATATGTGAAAATTGAATATCTGATCGAGTAAGCTGAAATGAGTGATCTTTTTAGTTTCGAGCCAATGGTACGGTTGATGCCCGGGAAATGCTCAGCCTGACCCAATTGTGTGTGGTCCAAGTGCTGGTTCATGTTGCGTGCTGTGCAGGCGGAGACGAAGCTTTCATTGGTGCACGCGGCATCAGCCACTTGCTGTTTTTGAAGGTCACAGAGCCCTCTGCACACTGCATATGAATCATGACAGGCTTGCAGCTGCTATCTCACCTCATGTCTGTCACGTGCCGTTGAGGTTTGTCTGGCGGTCAAAGAGCGCGTCTTTCATTGGCGAGATCGGCATACAATGCACAAGCTGTGCCCCATCGGGAATAGAAACCTGAATGCGTAGGAGTGTCCGTTGGACCGAGGCCATGTTCTTTAGTAAGGCATTTTGTTAGAGAGTTCTCCAAAATGGCTTTGGCATTGCAAGGGCCTCTGTGTTCGGAAGCACCAGTCCCTGCCACATTTCCCGCCATGTCATGCGGAGAGAAGTTAGCCGCCGAAGAGGGTTCCAGCGGAGCAAACTTTAACTTTAACTAAGGAGCTGGTGCTTCTCGATGCCGCTCAGCACTGCATCATGAAGGGCCGTCTGTCTTTGCGTTCCTGTGTTTTCTGCGTGGAGTCACCAGTTCGATTCTTCAGAGTTGACCCTGGACTTTTTTGAGCCTCGCTTCCAGCTCCAGCTCGCCAAGGATCCTTTCGGCTCTGTCGATGCTCCGACAGCTTTGGGCATCTTGGAGGCCCCATTCTAAGTCTGCCCGGCTTGCTCCCGAAGACTGCGATGACTCTTGGGATCTGTGGGACTGCCGGTGCAGGATCTGCTCTGCGGCCCTCTGCTGAAAGATCGGGCACGCATCGTGGCTTTGCAACCTGAAGTCGATGCTCAGCTGCAGAGCCGGGCTGGATCTTGCTCCCCACCTCTCAAGCGCCTAGGGGCCTAGGGGCCTAGAGCCAAGGAGCGCCTCAGAAAGTTTGATCGCGTCTTCGTGCCGAGCTTACTCTCCGTACACAGACGATCATAGCCATGCATGTGGAAGCTTGGCATCTTTTGCCTTGTCGAGGTCATGTCCAGAGGCCGCATCGTCGCCTCCGGCACGCCCAGCGAGGAAGGGGTCCCAGCTCGGTAAGCTGCAGCTGAGTACCTAGGACTTGCCCCGGGCAAAACCTAGAGGTACACAAAGGCAGATTCCAGCATGTGCATAAACTACGAAGGACAAGGTCTGCCAAAGGTTGCGCATACAACTTTCATCCGAACTGTCTTTGAGGTTGCAGAGACGGCGTTGCCCTCAGCATCTCACCGACGTCTTGTTGTGTTGCCATGCTGGCAGTCAACCTCAAAATGCCAGAGGGGAGGGTGTGCGTTACGATCTGTCATGAGCACGGCCTTCACTTCCATTCCGGGCCGCCGTTTCCATTGCATCTAGTTGTCTGGTGCAGACGCTCCTGAGGAAGAGTTCAAACAGCTCCTCCGAAGCAGTGCGTTGGAGGACCAGTGGAGAAGACTGCGGTCTAAGAGTATAGGATGGTAGGGAGATCCTTCTTTTTAGATGGCCTTGCCGCCTCGGCGAAGGGTCGAGAGAGAGCTTCGCAGGTCTGTGCGCACGACAGGGACTCGGCTTTGCTAAGCCGAAGCTGTCTGTGCTGGGGCTCTGGAGGTCGAGTTTCCGCAAGGATTTCAAAAAGACTCACTCTCAGTCTAAAGAGCATCTGTGAAGCACAGCATCCGAACTCACCTGGGTACGAGCCGAGAACGATTTCGGAACAAACTTTGGACTTTGCCATTCCGACAGTATGTGTTTTGGGTATGTCGACGTAACTTCATGTAAACCATAGCCATAAACCCATGCCATGGCTGCAGCACGCAGCGCAGCTGCCTGTGCGGCAGCGCTATCGTGGCATGAGCAGGAAGGTCGCATGGGAGTCTTTGCGGAAGAACCACTGGAGGAGGGTGCTTTAGTAGAGCGTTGCTACTCCATCCCCCTCAAGTCTGTCGACATTCCTTCAGCCGTATTGCAGCAACGATTGTTCGACGTTGGTGATGGCTGCCTGCACTTTCCTCTTGGGTGGGGAATGCTTTATGCAGATGCATCGCAAGATCAAGCCAACGTGGCCTGGAGCTTGGATGTACTGGAGAGCGATGGGGCGGCCTTGCATCACCTCTGCCTGCGAACATCCTCTGCGGTGGCAGCTGGCACCGAGCTTCGCGTTTGTCGGTCTGCGCCCGTCTTCGAGCACGTCCAAGACGTGGTGAATTGGTCTCTCTCAGCCTTCGAAACTCAGGGCCTGCAGCTGCCGCAGGCCGAGCCAGGCCCGACGGGTGATACTGTTAAGAGGCATGAGTTCAATGAGGGGGTTAAAACTATTTCTGCTGGTTAGATCCGTACACGGTCAGGCTCGGACCTGGACGGGGAAGCCTTGCCTTCCAAGCTCTTCGTCGACCGAGTGAAGGTTGATTTCTCCAGCATCCACGGCTGCGGCGTCTTTGCTGTCCGCGACCTCGCGCCGGGAGAGCTAGTAGAGTTGGCCCCGACGCTGGGGCTGCAGGTGGGATGCGGCATTGATCATTTCACGCACCGACAGCATGCAGTAGTAACGCAGTCGCAAGTGCATAACCCATGTACCCGGGCTGAGGACTCTGTTTCTGAGCCGCTGGGACCTGGGCAACTGTCTAGCTGACCACCGCTTCAGCGCGCACGGCGATCAGGAGCCGGTCCTTGAATTGCAAACCTGGCCGCAGAAGCCAAAGGCAGGCGTAGCAAACAAGCCAAAGATCCAAAGCAGGCAGCAGAAGCAACAGCACTTTTTGCACGGGCATGACTGAGAACGTCTTCAGGAGCCAACAGTGAGGCCTCTTGGCCTCAAGCTGGCGCTAGGCTTGGGCAGCGTTTTCAACCACAAGGATGCCCCAAATGTGGAGTTTCGCCTCTTGTCTGAAGATTTGCGGGTTTCAGCGTCATTTTCCCGAGGGTATGTACGACCAACGAGAGGCCGCCGGCCTAGGCTCCTGACGAGGCAGTTGCGGAAGTTCGACAATTGGGAAAACGCCTGACCAAACAAGCCAGAATTGCTCATTTACATTTGCCATCTTATCCCTGACAAGGCCCGGCCAAAGTCGCCGGCTCGCGGGCGCTGCAGCTCATGAGCATCTTGAGCTTGAAGGTTTAGGGCGAGCCATGGGTTCCACATGCGCCCATGAGGTATCCGACAAAACATGGCAGGAAGCCAATGTGCTGGGTCTATGTGATTTGTGCGAGCTAGACATGAAGGGAGGTATGCTGTTCAGATAGCAGGTGGAAAGTGTCTCCTCTCGTGACACCTCGGGTGGCTTCCGAGGTTGCTTTGCGGCATTGCGAGAGATCAAAGCTGGCGAGGACCCGCTGTGTGTGGGCAAGGTTGCAAGCAGTTTTCGGGGATGGGTGCCTGGTGGCGAACTTTATCAGACACTCGACCCTGGAATCTGCAGCACAAACTTACAGCACCAGGAGCTGTTCATTTCCTACGGACCAGATTGGTGGGCATCGAGGCTTCGCCGATGAAATTCATTTGTGCGGACGGAACACTCTACTGTGTTGTACCTCGATTTGGATGTGCGACAAACTGCTTGGCTCAGTCAGGGTACAGACTTGCTGGCAGGAACCCCCAGCAGATGAGCCTAGCTGACTGGCGGAAGAAGCGTGGGGGGCCCGGCGTCCAGCCGGATCCCTGCAGGTTGATCTGGTTGCTGGTTCAACAGCTTTGCAGATAGGATTTTCTGTTTCACATCTTGCAAACTCGAGGTGGAGAGACGGACCATGGTCGGCCTTTCTACGATGATCCTGGCTTTGAGAAAGCGACGCTCGACCCAAACATATTGCCAACATATCGGTACAAGGATGTCGATGTTTTTGTCTCCAGCTTGTTGCCTGCAGGCATATGTAGTTGCACAGGACCAGGGGCCTCTGTCCACTCATTGTATTCAGTTATGGGGGGCCCTGCTTGCATCTGAGGTCAGGGTTTCCACGTGCAGTCGTGGAGAAGCTGCATGAAGCCTTCGTGCATGCGCCCGACGGAGACACCACTGTGCTTCGAGCCTACCAGGCGCCGCAAGAGACAAGTGCTGCCTGTGCCCTTCTACGGGGTACACCGGCGGTTTGAGCCGCGGCCCTTCGGATACCGTTTGCATTCTCCGGCAGGGCCTCTGCCAGAAGGTGCAGGCGAAGGCTTGGACCGCGCGTGCTCATGTCAATGTTGCAGCGCTACAGCCGCCCAACACAGAATTTCAAGCGATCAAACTCCAGGCATGTATGAGTTTGTTTACGGATCGTTCTCACCTTCTTTCCTTGCGGTTTCAATCGCTGAACAAAGCGCATCTAACAGCGAAAACGGACCCTGCGATTCAAACCAAACTCCTGGAGAGTGCGAGCTCTGAGAGCATCAAAGACCCCCCACAGTACTCTTGACTGTTCATCTATCTTAACTCCATTTGGGGGTTCCAATTTCTCGTCCTGCAGACGGGCCTTCGGGGCCTCCTGGATGCGCCTCTGCGTGGCAGCGGCGAGCGGGCAGCCCACGCAGCGGTGCTGAAGCCCCAGAACTTGCGCTGGCCGCCCGGCTTCGATTTTCGACTCTAGGGCCGTTGGTTCAACAACTCGGGATGAAGGTGTCTGTGCAGCTGTCGCCATAGAGCTAGTTATAGCTGCTTGTTATCGTTTGATAGTTATAGTTGCTTGCATCCAAAAGCATTCTGGTCGCTAGCAAGCACCCGAGATCGCGCGTTCTTGATCCTGACGCATCTTCTGAGGCTTGTGCTGAACGGCCCCGGCCTGAGTCCACGTTCAGGCTTTGCGCCGGCAGCGGGAGCTCCGTGAAACCTGCGGGGCCGCAAGCAGGTGCAGACGTCAATGCGCCCACAGCTCCAGCGCTGGAGCTTGCTGAGGTCGTCTGCCGCTTTGTACAGAAGCCTTCCTTCTCTTTCTGTGCAAAGTGACTTGTTAGACACAGCCGGGAAGGACGGCAGCGTCTCCACGGCACTGTGCCCTGCCCATGTGGCCGCCATCAACGGTCAGGCAAGGCCCGGTTTGGATGAATCCTACAGGATTCTCCCTGGGGCTGGGGCTCACAGCAGATGCTGGTATTGTTTGGGGGTTCGCTGCCGCAGGATTGAGTGATGAGTCTGCCTCTCCGACCGGCTGTCAGGTCGAGGCTCTTTCCATCCTGCACTCAGCGGGTGCAGACTTGCTCTGCTGGCGACTTTCAGGGAGCCTGATGCGAGGCTGCATGCAGATGTGCCGTGTGTGCCAGGAACTGCCAGCGCACGGATGGTGCCACTCCGCTGGACTTTGCTGTCGATTGCGAGCAGACCGACACCGAGGTGGGATAGAGAAACGAAGTTACGTTATCGAGTGCTTGAGCCAAGTTAGTTTATGCCGAAAGGGACGGAAGAGAGTCGTCCGGAGAGGCTTCATGTATTATAGCCACGCATTCGCGAAATAACATTTTGTCAGTAGCATGTGCGACGTACGGTCACAACTTGGAGATGCGAGGTCTGGCTCAAAGCCCGTGGGGCGGTCCACGGCGTTATGGAGCAGTAAGCTTTGCAGGCTGTCATGCCGGAGGAGTGTCATGCAGGCGGACCCTGTGCCGCAATCCTGCCGTGGAAGCAGAAAATGCGAAAAGACTTGTGACCCACTTGCTGATCTCTTGAGGCCACTGAACGAATGTGCCTTGCTTGCAACGCTGCCGCCTCACTCACATCAGCTCCCGTTTTGCACCCTTCATCCCGTTGAGCCTCCCATCCCCACACCGCTGCCCTCTCTTCATTACGGTTTTCGGCTCAATGTGGGCACACACCCTGACCGTGCACTGCCCCTACAACCGTGAGTTCTCCCGCCGCTCCTTGGATGGCACGCCATGCATTGGCGAACAGTCCCAGATTGTAGCCATGCTGCTTTCCGTCCTTGCCTAACAGCGAGAGCAAGGATGGCTATGGTGAGTTATAACTCGTCAACCGAAAATGCTGATCGCAAATCTGGCGACGGTCATGAGAACTCAGGAAATTCTTTTGTGACCGCTTCTCCGCTGGCGCCTTCCTTGGCTTCTCTGGGCCTGCTGCAGCATCGCGAGGGTGGTATTGGAACATGAGCGTCGAGTGTTGAGCAGAGCTGCCGCGGTGAAGTTACACTGAGGCCGTATCATGTCGTGCTTCGCTGGCCTCACTGCCTCAGCGCCCGTCGCCGCGGGCATTGCCGACCGCGGCAAAGGACGAGGCTCGAGGAATCCAGGGTTCGGGTCCGACGGGGAGTGCGCTGTGCTGGAATTCGAAGATGCGGCATGTGCCACCTCAGACTTCCAGGTCGCGTGTATGCCAACATCACAGAAGCTTGGCATGCAAGCAGTGCAGCCGATCGGGTGCGTCAATTTGTCAAACGAATGGCGATTACAAAGCGCATGACAGCCCTGAGATGCAAAGGAAACCGTTGGAAACACGCCCTGTGTGAAGATCTCTGACGAGATCTGCCCAAAGGGGCGCACGATCTATGCCAAGCTGGAGTATTTCAACCCGCTTTCCAGCGTCTCTCGGCCCGATGCAAACACCCAGCGAGTGTTAATAGTGCTCGTGGCACGTTGCTTCGGCAATGCCAGGTCAAGGATCGGCTGGCCTGCGCCATCATTGAGGCAGGGTGGAAACAATGATATTTTTGTGTCGGCGTGCGAAGTAGATGTGCAGCTACTCGTACACTGCTACGCAGGATGCCGAGAAGAAAGGTCAGCTCAAGCCCGGCGACACAGTCATTGAGGTGCACCGGAATCTTCCTAGCAGCCAAATTGATGGAAGTAATCTCGCCTCGGCTCGGAGTACTTTTCACAGAACGTGAACAAAGATCATTCAACTCCCGATGTCGTCGCAGGCAGTTAAGTGGCACGATGCGCGTGCATGACTGAAGTGATGGCTTTCGCGGGCATGCCAGTTCACGTTCATGTCTGTCAAGGCCACTTCGGGCAACACCGGGATTGCCGTGGCGATGTTGTGTGCCCAGCGTGGATACAAGTGCCTCAGCAAAGCGAAGCCGATGACGCAGTTGGGAAACCCACGAAAACAGCTAACATAACTGAGTGGCACATGAAATTCAGTCCGCTCTGCCTGACGCTCCAAAGGTGTGTCATTACCATGGCGGAGCCCTTCTCCATCGAGCGCCGCAAGCTGATGCGTTTCATGGGGGCCAAGGCTTTCGGAATTGGGCTGCGGGCCATAATTAAAATCCAACTTGTCCGCAGGTGATCATCACCCCCAAGGCGGGAAAAGGAACCGGCATGGTGGCGAAGGCGAAAGAGCTGGCAGAGAAGCACGGCTGGTTTCTGGGCGTGGCAGCGAGACGGGAGGGAGATAGGGCGGGAGGCGCTGTTTCGCCGTCGGCTCTCTACTAGCAGCAAGTCATTTCAAACAATCGTGTGAGCTGGAGGCCTCCGACAAATTGCTTTTCAGCTGCCGCAGTTGTCCCGCAGTAAGGTTCCTTTGCCGGCAGTTCGAGAACGAGGCGAATGCAGAGTTCCATTACAAGACCACGGGTCAGGAGATTGTGAACGACTTCGAGGGGATGAAGCTGGACTACTACGTCCTGGGCTACGGCACCGGCGGCACCTTCTCTGGAGCTGGGAAGGCCATCAAGGAGCGAGGACTCGTGGCTTTGGTGTTTCTTTCATGTCTTGGTCTTGTTTCCATTTCAGGAGAAGAGGCCGGACGTGAAGATCTGCTTGGGCGAGCCTGCCGATGCCCCACTCGTGGCTTCAGGCACAAAGACCGAGCGCAACCCAGATGGATCTGCTACCGGCTCGCACCCGGCCTTCAAGCCCCATCCAATCCAGGGCTGGACCCCGGACTTCATCCCGCAGATTGCAGAGAAGGGCATTACGGAGACCGGCTATGACGAGTTCATCCCAATCCCGGGACAGGCTGCGATTGAGATGTCCCAGGCCTTGGCCAAGACGCAGGGGATTTTCACCGGAATCTCTGGTGGAGCCTCCATGTATGCAGCGGTTGAGATGGCCAAGAAGGCGCCTGAGGGCTCGGTGCTGGTCGCCATGTTGGCCGACACCGGCGAGCGCTATCTCTCCACCCCGCTCTTCGCCTCCATCAGCGCCGACATGAACCTCGTCAAGTTTTTTCGGAAAAAAAACTGCTTCTTCCTTGCTCCAGCGCTTGGGGTGTCTCTGTTCCTCTCTATCTTTTTTTTATCTTTGTCTCGAGACTTGCAGCATAAGAGCAAGAGCAGCATGCCAGGAACGAGGAGGAGTTGGCCATCTCCAAGTCTACGCCCAACTTCCAGCTCTGAGCTCGAAGCGGCACCTGTGGAGTTTTTCGGTGATTTCGAGGGCTCCTAATCTCGAGTGCGGTAGTCTGCGGTGTAAGTTTTGAGCGCGCAGCCCGCAAAAGTTGCAGCTCTCTGCCTCTGCTCTCCCGCTTCGGGAATTGATGCGAGATGCCCCGGCTCCAGATTCTGTTCCCGCCTTGCCATGCAGGACACTATGGCGGTGACACCGGTGGGGACCAAGACTGCCAAGGACCAACGAACGATCCCATATTCCTGGTCTTTCTGGTGTGATTTGTTCAGCTCCCTGCCATATCTGTGCAGCTGGCTGGTAGCTCCAACCACTCGGCCAACGTGCTTTTCCTGGCAGCCAGAGCGGGCCGGCATCATCAGCATGAGCTCCCCATCTTCTGTCCTGGCTAGCCACACCATCGGTTTCCTCTTGCTTTGGTTTGTGGCCCACGCGGGCCAGCATGCAGCTAGCTTGTAGCCTTCTCTTGAGCTGCGAGGAACAGCGCCCAGCCACTGCCGGAGCTCCGGCCCCGGTGCCTGCGACAAGTCTGCGCGAGAGCCACTCGGTCAAGAACGACATTGCCGTGGAGAGGGAAAAGGACGTTTTGCTACCGTAGGGCACTGCTTAGGGCTTAGGTCCTTGGGCTTGCGTCTCGTCTGAGAAATATATGTGTCGTCTACTTTCACATCCAAGGCGAAGCCGAAGGCCGCCCTGCGAACCTGCTTGCACCTTGCACTTTGAAGCCGCCGCCGCACTGGTTGACCCGCAACCCGCCAAGATCCGCAGAGCCTGACCTGAAACGCTGTTGCTTGGGACTTGGGCTACGTTTTTGGCCGCAGGCCGCCCGACCTGGGAGATGGCGAAGAAGTACATCGACGTCGGCAGATGGAGGTGGGAAAGCAAAGGAGTCACAAAGTCTCGTTATGTTCTCAGTATCCAGGGTTCAGGATCTGGTACCTGCGTGCAAACACAACAGTACCCTCGAACACTCCATGGCTCGTGCGACCTCCAACAGGAATATGGTCAATGCGATGATTTTCTACTCCTTGGTGCTCTTCATCTTCTTGCCGCCTGCACGAAGCGATGCTAGCACCAGCAACAACGACTTGTGCTAAAGTAGCGTGCGACATCGGGCTTCAGGTGTTATGTTTCCATGACGAGGCTTTGCGACATCTCCCTTGCCAATTGCACGAATGCCTTGGCTTTGGACCCGACTGTGGTGTCCTGGAAGCAAAGGCTTACTAGCTCCACAGAGAATGGAAAGTGAGACAAGAGGCTTCATTCCTTCTGCACAAGTGGCACCCGAGGCGACCGGGCCGTACTTTGGGGGCTATCTGCCGGGACCCTAGCGAGGGTTGCTGCTTCCTTGTCTGCTGGTGGAACTTGAAACTGGGTCCCCGCACCAATGCTTGCATGTCCCTGCCAACCACTTGCTGGAAGGCAAGACAGTCAAAGGTTGCACCTGCTTCTTCTTCATGTTGTTGCTGCTGCTCTGGCTGTTGCTGTCGTCCTTTGTTTTGCTGTTGCCGTGTTGCTGCGCCTGAAGTACTGAAGTTTTTCCGACCTGACTGTTGACACTGTAACAGCATCGTTAACTCTGGCCTTCGTTTCGTAACAATGGCTTGTGCCGAAGCCGTTAAAGTCGTCGCGTCGTCGTCGTCGTCGTCGTCGTCGTCGTCGTCGTCGTCACCGACGACGACGCGATGCTGCCATGACGCTGAAGGCGACGAGACCACGACGGCGAGCACAGGAGCGCAGCAGATTGACGCACAAAAAATCCTGCATGAACGTGGGGATGAGTCACACGGGGATCCGCGCAAGGTTTTGGGATTCGGATTCAGAGTTCGGAGCTACAGTATGAGGCAGTTTTAAGGCAACGAGCGACCGAACGAACGAACGGACGAACGAACGACGAAGCAACAAATGAACGAACGCACAGCAACTACAACAGGGACGCGCAACAAGACCTGACCGGAAAAGGAGAGCGTGGGCGCGCAGAACCAATAAGAGGATTCGGTATTGTCATCATGCTGCAACGATCTTGCTCAGTCTGCATGAGAGAGGGGGGGAATGGTGATGCCTGAAATGCATACTGCACCAGAAGGCAAGATACACCGACCACGAAACCTTGACTCACAGCAACCTTTTTGGATGTCCGACTTCCTGTCCTGCTCTGAGCGACAAGCTCCGAAAAAACCCAGGTTCTGGATGGTCATGGGCATCTCTGGGCTGTACATCGGCTGGATCTACGGGGCAGGTGCGGGCTGGAATGAGGGAAAATGCTCTTTGCAGGGCTCGGACCAGCAGACAGCTGGTAACGCGTGCAGTTGGTTGCATGAAGAGCTCTTGCTGCAACTGTGCCAACGAGCCTGCCAGTGTCAGTGGCGATGTGACTCTCACCCTGTGGAGGATTTTCCTTGCGGATCTCGCACTTCATGCATGGCACCCCGACTGTTTGGCAGACGCGGGCATGTCATGAAGCGCGGATAAGGCTTTACATCGGTGGACAATGACGGTCATCACGAGGGTTGTCTGGAAATCTGTTTCCCGCAAGAATTTCGGAAGCAGGTTGCCAAGAGTCATTCTTTCAGGTTCTCGGGGACATTGGTCTAAGCGGCCGTCCGAGATGTGTTTTGCTTTTCTCAAGCATTTCAGCCGAGTCCTTGTGACGATCCCTTGTTCGTGTCCAGGTCTTGCTGCAATCGACTGCCGGGGATAACCGCGTAGGTTGCACTACGAAGGTTGCATTGGGAGCATATACGCGTGATGAGTTGAAAAGGGCGCCAGAACTGGGCAGCACCGAGAGGTGTGACGATGTGACCCCCGTCTGACTCCGTTTCGTGAGTCCGCTTGATGATCGGGTCTAGCTATGCATGGGGCCAGGCTGGTAATGAAGCACCGAGCCAAGACGGTGCAATTGTCAGGAAATGTGGTGCACCAGCTGCTCCATGCCCCGATCGCTGCTTGGGAAGCAATTGTCAGTTTGAGCCAGTAATTTGTCATAGCCAGTGGTGAGCTGGATGAACGCAAGCCGGCACAAAGACCCGACAGCAACTCGTGAGCCCAAACATCAAACCGTAAGACATCATGCATCGTTTCGCAGATGGAAGGCACGTCTAAGTCACCGCAGAAGCAAGTATGCATCGAGTCACGTGAGTGATGTTCATGTCGATTTCAGTTGGGCTAGTTACTAGTTCGAATTTGGCCAAGCACCCTTTGCACCTCCACGCAGCCCGGCGCAAATTGCTATCTGTGATACATAAAGCGAAGTTTTCATACATATGGCCATGCAAGGCCTGCAGGGTGCCAGCTAACCAGGTTAGATCCCCATTCTGCTATTGAACCTGCAAATACCCCCGAGTGCACTTCGAGAAGATGCTGCTCATCATGTAGGATCGCTTCTTCGACAAGCAGCCAGTGGGCCGCATCATGAACCGCTTGACTATGGACATGGCAACGATTGACCTCTACTTGTTCATGAAGGCCCGAGTCCACACATCTGTGTAATATGCCATAAAACGGCACGTTTCCCTGCCGAAAAAAGATTCCCATCCCACTTGCCCTGCAGGTGTCCGGCAGCATCATGATCTTCTTCCAGATCCTCGAAGCAGCAGTAGTATCCATTTTGGGTTTGACATCCTGCTTTGGAAATGATTGTGGTTGAAAGCAGTGTCTTGGCTTTCAACGAGGACACTTGTGCCGCTGGCGTACATCCACTTCATCATGCCCTGGTACATGTCAGTCTTTGCGCTCCCCTTCTACTATGTGGTCTTCGAATTGTGTCTTCGGCTGAACCGTGTACAAGTTTGTAAGTTTGCACCATGTGGATCATTGCATCTGCTCAACCGTGGCCTGGTTTAACCAGGTATCTGCGCTATCAGAACACGGCCGTTCCCCTGCGCTACTGCTTCAAGACGTCCTCCTCCATCACGCAGAGTCACCTGTCAGATGCAACTCGGTCACATGCAGGTGGGAAGGAATCGAAGCTGCTTGATGAAACACTATGAAGCACTAACTCCAAAGTGCTCCCACATCCAGAAAGTAGAACCGAACAGTGGTTCTTACACCGCGACCAGTCGAACATGCCCTGCATATCAAGGAACACTCCCCAAGCAGTTCTGTCTTGCAAGCTCTGAGGTGATGACCAACACGGTGGTGGTGCGTGGCTTCGGTGAGCAGAATCGCATAGCTGTTCAATATGCTGCCCCGCGGCCAAAAACGAGGGTGTCCAGGGCTGAGTCCGACAGGACGCATAGAGCGGCTCCGGTGACTGCTTGCAGCATCTTGCAGCGTGTGCTTCGGGGTTTGCGTTTCTGTTGTGGAACTGGAGCTTAAGTTGAGCTACCCGGGGGGCTCTTTCGGCTACTCCTGAGATGCACCCTGACTCAACGGCCAACCCAGGCTTGCGTAGACAACTCGGTGAAGGTGCTTGGGCGAGGGGGTTCAGGCAATGAAATTACGCCCGAGTCTGGCATGACACCGAAAACAAAGCTAATATGAAAGATAAAGACTCAACCACTGAATTCTGCGTGAGCAAGTGGAAGAGAGTAATACCAGATACAGCCATGCGGAAGACACATCGAGCACATCGTCCGCAGCAGTTGCCGAACATGCTCCAGCAATGCTCTGAGCCAGTTCCTGTTCACGGCATGAGATGCTTTGTGGAAGGCGGACCTCACCGACGACAGGCTGATGAAGCGCTGGCTGTGCAACCGTGTGAACTACCTCTGGACCTTCTACAACTCGGCCACCTGGCAGCAAGCATACAGACTGGGCTTCGTACAAGCAGCACGAGAGACACCAATAACGAGCACTCCTTTGAATTAGAAGGCCTGTGTTCACTGTGGCCTATACAAGCATGCATGCGTGACCCTCCACGACATCTTCCATTGATCCGTCTCGCCTTGAGACACTCTGGCCTGAGTTTGAGCATGAGTGAGACGCGTTAGAGTCTCGGGGCCTTAACCAAGAGCTCTTCCAAGCATGACATTTCCCAGATCACCTACATCATTGGCCTTTACAATGCTTCATGGCTGGGCCCGGGAACACTGGGCATTGCTTTGCGCCTTGGCTTCAACCTCCCCCACACGAAAGCGGGTTGTGGTGGCCTGTGTGTTCACAAGCATGCCGCAGAAAGCGCGAACCACCTTTGAGGGTCAATATCCTCTAACCCTAAGGACAAATTTGCTGTTGCTCGAGACGCTTGGTGAGAATCATGTGGGGTGGGATTCGCCTCTGCGTGCTAGGGGAGCTCATGTTGTGAGCAGCTTGACGGGCTTTTCCGGCAGTGATTGCCTTCAGCTTCGCTACTTTGCAATTGCTGAAAACTTACCGTAGCCCAGCCACGCCTCACTTTCGTGAGGCATGGGTGGTTCGGGCGATCATGGGGAGGGTTACCGTAAGGGAGGAGAAGTGGGACAGAAACGCGCCTTCTTCCAGGGGCTTTCAATTTTTGGAGGTTTGGTTTCCGAGAAGATGGGCTCAGTTCGCGAGCCGCAAGCTCTGTAGTCATGTCCTATTGATGAGAAGGCCGACGAAGGCTCAGGTATTAGGACCGTTCTGCTTGCACCATCTGGCATCCGTGCCCATCCAGTCTCTATTCAGGACAATGATCGAGCCCAGCCTGGAAATGATGGCGGGCGCCCTCTTTGAGCTCATTGCGCTTGCCCGTGTGCATGAATACACTTCCGTGCCCGGCTTGGAGATTGGCGGAGGGACTGCGAAGTACGTCCAGAAATGAACGAGCTTTGTAGTTATCTTGTTGGACAGTGCCTGATTGAGGGGCAGCTCAGTCGAGGTACTCCAAGTTTCTTCTTGAAGATCATGCCTTGTTCGGTTTCAGCTGTATCTCTTCTTTGGTTTAAGAAGGGGCCTTGAGTCTTGACCCGAGTCAGGTGACGCAGGAGAAGGCGATGTACACTCCGGAGGAGAGGGGCAGCAACACATTCAGCCCAAGTGCATCACATTGCATCACACAGACTAAGCGATTCCTGTGGAAAGCCGGTCCAGAAGTGTTGATAGAGAGGGATGTTTTAGTTTCAGTCCCGTGGATTGATGCATTCATCAGTCCGCCGAACATCTAACATGCAACACTGTGAAGGACGCCAAATTGCGCAACTACTCCGTCCGGTTCTACCGCGCAAAGGCTACTCCACTTACGGTGCGTGCGCCTAGGCCGAACATTCATTCCGTGATGAGTCCGTAGCACATGGCCCGAGTCTGTTCTCGATTAAGAACCAGAATCCCAAATTGCCGGAGCCGTCTCTTGAGAGCAAACGGCCTGGCTTGGAGGGCGAGTGCTGCACCAGATTTCAGGCCAGTTGATGGCTAATGCGCTTCACCATTGGCTCTGAACCTTTTAGCTACTTGAACCTTCTCCAAGGAAGTGAACGACAGGATTGAGGTCCTTGCGACACTCGGAAGGCAGAGTACGACGCAACGACAATGTGCGGCCGAGGGAGGGAGCAAGCCTCACACAGTTGCGATCATCTTCTCGGCTTTATCGAGGAACGGGAAGACCCTGCTCCACTCCACCCCGGATGGACGTGCCCTGATGTTGGTGGACAACAGCAGCGATTGCAACATCGGCCGGTTCCAGGCAGCACCATGGAACGACAGACCTCGTGGTTGATATTCATGACGGTCATGTATCGGCTGAGTTGATCATAGCATGTACACTCTCCGCATGTTAAGATACCCTACAGTGCTGCTAGTTTGGAGCTCAAGTGGAGGAGCTGTGCCCAGTCTGTGCGGAGCTGAACCAAATTCCCAGCTTGCACCACATCGTGGCCGTCAATGATGCTTCCGGCAGTGCGACGCTTGATGATGTCGAGATCACAAAGCATTTTCGTTTTGGCACTCTCTTCGATGGGTAAACACCAAAGCCTGGTTCAGGAGCAGGAGTTGAAATTGAGGACCATAGGACCCAAGCATCGAGCAAAACTCACACATAACCATACATCAAGGCTTTGTGATAGCGTGCTAGGTTCAAGCCGTAGCTCCAAGCCGCCGTGAATCCAAGCCCTTGCCTCCAAGCTCCAGCGAGCTCAGGAAGGACGTCGCACAGGAGCTTTGTCGGCATCCACGGAGTTTTATGACGGTTGCTCGGCCAGGAGTTGAGCACCTGCCCGAAGCCCAACTTCGAGCTTAAGCCTCCGGAGCTGGAAGCGAAGGGATGAAGCTAGAGGCCCTGTAGGCCCTGTAGGCACTCTAGGCTGACCGCTCACTCTTGCCTGTCGTGACTTCGCTGATACCAACACAACGAGCTTCACCTTTGTCGCCCAAAGCTCACTGAACAGGACGCACTTTGCAGAGGGGTCAATGTAGAGGCATCCATGCTACCCTTGCGATCCTCCGCTCTGCCTCGTGACCCGTGACCAGAGCCTCCGTCCCTTGAGGTCAGCCTTGTCAAGGAGCATTGTCACGGTTGAAAGCGCATTCAAGCTTACAGCGCCAGGCAACGGCCTTCACGACCCAACCGCAGGCACGCACATGTGCCTAGTTGGGGCGGATTGCCAGAGATTCGAAGGCAGGTCACAGGTGGATGGAGTGAGGGAGTGCATGACCAGACAGACGTATTTGACCGTCGGACCGTTTTATGTTTGTGCGGCCATTATGGGGTGATGTCATGTACATCGATTTTGCGACCGCCGCGGCCACTTAATTTTGAAGTATTCGGCGCATGGTGCGCTGCTTCTGGTCTTTTTGCCTGCAACTCAATGAGGTCGTCATCGAGTTCCAGAGCAGCTGGCTTTCTGATGGGGCGCGGTTGGACATTCAGGACACTTGCTCTGGCACTGTGCATGGCTGTTCAGGTTGTAGGCAGCCTTGGCCTGTAAACAGATGCAGTTCCGAGCAAGAGCACTGCCGGATGTGCTGAACTTGTCGGTGCTGCCGAGCCTCTGCTCGAGGAGCTGCGTGCGGGCTACGCGGAGGTGCCGCAGGCGGCTCGTTGCTTGTTTTTTGCACCTGCGAGCCTGGGAATGGAGTATGGCCCTGCAGCATTGCAGGATGTCCTGAAGGGCGTGACCTTCAGTGTTGAGCCGCGCATGAAGGTGGCCGTCGTTGGTTTCTTGGCTGCCCGAGGAAAGCTTGTTACGGACGTGAGGAAGCAGCTGTCGCACCGATTTGAGGCACCACCGGCTGCGGAAAATCCAGCATGTTGTTCCTTGGCAAAAGGGGTATATAGAGGTATTGTTCCGCCTGGGCTTGCTGCAATTGTTGCGCCTTCGGCACAATTTGCAACGATGTAAGGCTGGCGCTGCTTCGCATCATCGAGCCTCGCGGTGGGAAGATTGTCATCAATGGTCTCGTGGCTTGCAATTGGAGCAGGTTAAAATGTTTGCATTCCCGTATTCTAGAATACACATGTTTCGATGCCACCTCCTTTCGACGGAGTCGGCAAAGCTTCCGAGCGGATTCGTCTCAGGAATCGACACGCAGGAGATCGGCCTGGCCATGAGCTCAGGTCCCGTTTTCCCATAGGAAACTTGGAAATCACAGCTGAGAGCTGGGAATTCGTTAATCTGGCCTCATCTTAGTCTTTGCGTGCATACTGGAACACGGTAACGCCTGAACAATAACGCCTGAAGAGCGCACCTTAAGCTACTTGCAGTACCTTTGTGCTGGGTCAGTGCTTGGTCATTGGCCTTCGGGCGATGGTCGTCGTGACCGCCATCGATGTCAGCGCGGTCATCATCGGCCGTGACAAGTGCGAACCCCTGAAGGCCTAAACTATGCCAACATACCGAAGCCAACCCAACACCCGGCAAGCAGTGATTCGTGGCACAGGCTAAGCTTTTGATGGACCCAACAGTGGGCGTGAGGCACCACAAAGCCCGAAAGTGAGAAAGAGCTAGTAACAAACCCTGAACACGGCAAGGAGTGGGGTGTGACGAGGCGGAATCACGGAAGTGCACACATATCAACCTTTCACGTGCTGGCTACGCGGGTGTGAACCTCACCTGGCTTGCCTGAGGGTGAGTGACGCCACACCCACAAGTTGGCTCAGGCCTCGTTCAGTGATAGTTTAACATGTGCGCCGTGGTATGCCAATCGAGACAAGATGGCCATTGATCGTGGACCAAAGTTAGACATTGATTGATGCCACCCTGTCACCTGGCACTTCTCCTGTCTATCGCAGCAGCAGAATTCTACGAGCCCTGCACGCCCGCACAAGCTCTCCAGGCTTTGCATAGAGTGCGCTCACTGGATGCTGGGTCAGAGGCCTTCAACAGCTTTTGTCAAACTTGTGGCCAGAAGTCCCCATCTGCTGGCCAGAATTCTACGGCTGTTTGCTGTGGCTGCTTCGCCGGGTTCCTGTCGCTTGAAGGCAGGGTCAGAGACGAGCTTACGATCTTGAAGGTGCGGCATCAAACCGATGTGAAAAAGCTGCAGAACTTGTCATTGGCATTGCAGCTTTACCACGTGAAGCTTCGCTCCGGTCCCGGCCTCGCAACAGCTCGGGCAGCTTTGCGGCAGAAGTTCATCGACATCCAGCGACGTGTCAGCTTCACCGCTGAAATCGGCGTGCGTTTGGCAGACGAGCGACGTTTTGATTCCTTGACTGATCATACTGCCCGCCTCATGAGTGAAACATTCTTCTACTTCAAGGAGCAGCAGACGATGCCAATTTACGAGATGTTGACGCAAAACCACAATACGTGCTTACTAGACATTTTTGCTGGTAGGTGTGAGAAGAGGAATCTTCCCATTTTCGAGAAGTTCCCAGCAGTACAGGGGCCTCCGCAAGAGGGGTTCATGTTAGATTTTCTCGGTGTGTCTATGCCAATCGAGGCTATTTGTCGAGAAAAGCAACTGGTCCTGCTGGCACCAGGGCGAACTATATTGTGCAAATATTACCACGCAGGAATGCCGTGGCCTCGTGTTTGGCCGGTGCTGGATGAGGAGTATCTGGAATGGGCCGATAGCCTCACGACTGCTGTGGATGCAGCACGGGCCGGTCGGCCATTCCGCATGGCCGAATTGGGCAGCGGACCTTACGGAATTTGGGCCATGCGTGCGGCAAAGGCCTTCACCATGCTTGCTGCGGCCGACCGGCCCTGTGAACTGTTGCTTGTGGAGCCTGAATTGGGGGATGGCTCCATGTTGCGAACACACACAGCCATGAATTTGCCCATGGGGCGGTGCAAATTCGTCGTGCACAGGGATCCTCTGAGCACGAGCGACCAGGTCAAAGCTTTGCTGGGCTCAGGTGATCTATGGGATCTGGTCGACATAGATGCCCAGGGAGCAGAAGAGTTTATCTTATCTGGCTGGCTGGCTTGGCTGTCGACTCGGGTTCGGCGCTTGCATGTGTCAACGCATTCGCGCCAGATTCACTGGCAGCTCGTGAACGAGCTGCGAAGGGACGGTTGGCAGGTCCAAGCTCACTATCCCGCAATGTCCATGGTGGGCCTGCAAGACTATGATTTAGGACGATTTCTTACTTGTGATGGCCACATCAGTGCACTGCCTCGTTTTTGGCAGTGGACATAGTCTCGCCAAGAAGCCAGAACTGATCTCATTCATTTGGGCTACGGGGACCGCGCCTGGCCTTCTCAGCGGAAGGTTTGTCGAAAAAAGGTCATGAGGCAAGCAAGAACTTGACGCCTCTGAGGAAGCAACAACTTGATGACATCTTTCAACGGCACATGCTGCCCACATTAGGCTCTCATAGTTAGTGTGTATCCGCAATCAAGATTTCCAAGTCCGCTTCTTTCGAATCTCCTTTTCGGGACTCAGCGTTGCATTTGGCGAGTTTCGCAAGGAGGGGCTGTCATTTCGATGCAAAAGGGCTTCTCTCGCCGTCGCACTTGTCCCTGTCACTGTGGTGTTGTTCTATCTATTGTGTTAGTTCATGTCAGCCGGGTGGGAAGAATAAGGGTCGTGGGAAACCCTGAGGCCGTGTGTGTGTGTGTGTGTGTGGGTGGGTGGCTCGGCACGGCTCACCGGGCGGGTGCGGCACATGCCCCTGATCAAAAGCAAAGTCAAGTGACGCCAAGGCCACGCTGCGCAGTTCCCTGGGTCTGGTGCCACAGGAGCGAGCAGAAGGGCTCCCTTTGTTTCAGTCCCAACTTGGGGTTCTGCACTTCTCACAAAGTAAGTCTTACCCCAGATAAGCTTGCAGTCTTGGGCCGAATGAGGGAGGATTCAGGTTTGTGGGGCCCGTTTCTGGGTGGCGGAGGTTCGAACCGAAAGGATCTGAGAGGGGCTCCGGTTCAGCGGTCTCCGGTCCTCACAAGATACATCAAGGGTGTTGGCACTCAGTTGTGATATATCAACACAAACAGTGAAGTGTGCCGCAGCCGGGGGCCGGCGGGCAGGATCCCATGCTCTTCACGGGCACTTTACGGCACAACCTGGATCCATTCAAGGCTCTGCGGCTCTCACGCTCTCAGGGTTTATATAAAGTCGGTTGAACACGCAAGACTCGGACCTGGACATCTCCAGCCTTGCCTTCTTCCTTCGTTGCATTCCCTTTCTCTCTTGCAAGGTTTACACTGATGGCCGTATCCGGACTCTCAGAATGCAAAAAGGCGTCAGGGCAGGCCTCAGAGTGACGGGAAACGAGTGTTTGGCGACTGGGGTCAATCTGCCGACATCTCCGGGTGAGCAAGCTTGCCTGACTGCATGCTGTGGTGGCCTCTCAGGAAAGCTGTGAATTTGGCGCACTTAGAGAGCTTTGTCAACACGTTGCCTCTTGGCCTCTTGGTTGCATAGCCGGAAGCCGCAGTTCTCACATGTCTTCGATAACGCAATGAAGCCGAAAAGTGCCCGCACAAACAGTCGGCTCACGCAGGCCTGGACCATGTGGTGTCAGATGAAGGCCGATCAAGGGCCTTCCTGCCAGTGAGAATAGCCAATAGCTTTTCCAGTTTGGAGCCCATCGTTCACCTTGCAAGCAGGGCGATGATGATCGGATGTTGTCATTAGGTGGTGTTGAAGGCTAGAAGATGAGTGCACGGCCAAGCGTGTGCCAAGCATGTACGCCTCGCGGAATCGTGTGAGTCGTATGGAAGGTGGCAATCTCAGCTTCGGGCAGCGGCAGCTTCTGTGCCTGGCGCGCATGGTGCTGAGGCGAGAGGGCATTGTGGTCTTCAATTGTGAAATTGTGAGATAAACAAAGTGGAGAGGTTGCAGAATACTTGTTCAGTAGGGGTCCAAGAAGAAAGCACCCGAGCCGAGTACGTCCAAAGCAGGCAGCCGGCCCTGCTGCTACTGGACGAAGCGACTTCTGCGATTGATCCGGCCACGCAGGATACCCAAGAAGCTGCCTGGTGATCCTTCCTCCTTCGTCCTCTCCTTCTTTTTGCCCGGTCACGGGATGCAAGGCTTTCTAGGACTTTGCAAATTGCTCGCAGGAGTCGGTGCAGGATACCATCAATCATGCTTTCCCCGGCTCCACGATGCTGGCGGTGGCCCACCGCCTGGAGACCATCATGGAGTTCCGGCCTCGGCACCGGTCGCACAAAAGGGTGCGCTAAAGCCGCACTTCGGTGAAATCCGCGGCTGAGCTGTGTGCTGAGGTTTGACCAAGCCTGGCTCTCAGACTCTGGCTGTTGTTTCGTCCCCAAGCCCACCCCATGTCCGATTGTCTTGGCTCTCCTGAGCCACGATAGTAGCATAATCAGTAGATGGCGAAAGCAGATGGCAGAGAGAGAGTCCGTACGTTGATTGGCGGCATGGAAAAGCAAAGTGCAGTAGTGGCACGGCATTGCCAAGCTTGGTCTGTTCCAGCAGCGCCATGATTCAGGTTGTTGTCCTCGATTCTGGAAAGGTGGCAGAGGAGGCAGACTGGGAAAGAACGGGCGGTGCAGTTGGTTTCGGTTAAGATCTCAAGGCCACGCGCAGCGGTAGAAGCTTGAGTGAAAGGAAAACTTGGGACATCATTGCGGGTACTTGTTGCCGCCGGTGCGTCAACATGACGGTGGCTTGGATTCGGCCATGACATGGAAAGCCCGGAGCCTGCCAGGGTGCTGTGAAGGAGGTGGCCGCCAGGCCAGATGGAATCTTCAAACGTCACTTGGATGCAGAGCAATCAGCACAATGGCTGTCGTTGAGGGCATTTTGGCATGGTGGTGTCTTTGCGGCATGGGTGGTATGCCTTTGTTGGTGGGTTTTGGGCCACGTGTTTTGGGAGCGCTGGAAGCTTTAGGATTTGAGGATCTTTGGGAGGTCAGTTCGGTCAGGCGTGAGCGGTGGTACTTGCCAGCGATGCCCTTGCCGCCCTGCACAGGGTTCCATTCCAAATCGCAGTAACCCTCCATCTACACTTCTCTGTGTACTGCCGTAGAGCTGTACAGGGTGAAACTGGCTCTGCATGCAGGCATGCTGGATGCGAAGGAGCCCCTTGGCTTCTTGCAGTGCTCAGTCATGATCTTTAGGAAACCCTTTTGGCACCCCCATGCAACGAACCCAGAAGGCGGCGTGCTGTACAGGCCCTAGGGCCCTAGGGTTTGGGGACTTGGGATGTGAGCGTGACGATCGCTTAGGAAATGGTGAGAATCATTCTGAATCGGTGAGAGGCGTGCCGGACCAGCTCCAATGCCCAGGAAAAGAGAAGTACCGAGTAACATTTAGGCATGTAGCAGTGCAGCCTTTTCAGAAAGATGGATCGAAGGTCGAGCTGTCCTGATTTTCCTCTGTGCGGCGCTTCTTGCACGAAGCGGCGCTGAATAGTCACAGTCTGTTCGACCCAGTGAGTGTCGGAAAACGGCTGGCATCTGCGCATGCGCGCGCTGCAAGATGTAACGTAGGCTCCTATGCCCTGCAGGCAGTAGCTCAGCATCTTCCGGGTGATGGCTCAAAGCTGAGACAACTGCAGAGACAGTTGGATAATTAAGTCTTTTGTCATTGGGATGGCGAGCCACTTGGCAGAAAACCCTTCCTCAAAGTGCAGTGGTGCCATGTGACACAGCCCAAGCTCTCTGCGACACCAAGGTGCCATGGCTCCGCCCAGCACGGGCATGCCGGACGAAGACAGACGGACATCCGGCCGAAGCGGTCCGATCTCTGAGCCCGCACCCCAGACTTCAGCAGGGCAGCTTTAACTTCGGTTAGTTCCTGCGTTATGGACCAGAATCGACAACAGTCGCACGTCCCATCTGTCGCTTGTGACATATCCGAAAGCGTGCATGTTTGTTCGACTTCGACAAGTGCCTCGACGTGCACGAGGCTAATCGAGACGGGCATGTTGCATCGTTGTTCGTACAGGGACTCAACTTGAATCACCTTAACATGCCCACTGATTATACATGCTTGGGCCCGCAGAGTGGGGACTTTAGTGCGCCTCTCGAGGTTCAGGGTAAACAGTACGAGCCCCAAACGAGAGAGACCGTGACACCGAGACGCGCGTTCGGTCACCACTGCAACGGGCGACTAGCTCAAGCAGAGCAGGGTTCAGCCAAGACCCTAAACCCGAAACCCACGGACAAATGGCTACGGCTCAAGGACTAGCCTGGCAAGACTAGCCTTCTGTACTAGTACAGCCTACCACTTTTAAACCGCGTGCAATCAGAAGTTGATCGAGCAGACCTTGTTTCAGTTCCGTGTGCTTGGGCAGACCCTCAGCTGGATTGCACACGTCTTTGACCCAAAGGGCTCCCTAAGGGAACCCGCGTCAAGTCGCAAGCAGATCGGGCCAAGACCCGTGCTGCTTTGCAGGTAGGAGTTTTCAAACCGGCCACAAATTGGGCTCAGCTGTTCAACCTTTCCAAAATCCCAACAAAATCAAGCGACCCAACATCATCGCTGTTGGTTCATGATATTTACGGAGTGGAGATAGTTTTGTAGATCCAGCAATCACCAGTTTTTTCTGCTATGTCCTTGGCTGGCTGCTGTACAGTGACTGTCCAGTGCCCCTCCCCTGCTGCGGACGCGGATGCGGGAGCTGCTGCGGATCTGCTGGCGCGCTGTCAACAGACCAACGAGGACCTGGGCAAGCTGGTGCGAGAAGAGCAAAACCTGCTCTTCAACCTCTCGCTGCAGCTAGACAAACTCCGTTGCGCTCCGAGGGAGAGTCCGCCTTCGGCAGCCCAGCAATCAGCGGAGGCCTCGAGGACCACGGAGCCGTCGAGACGCGCCCCGTCCAAGGATAGCAGCTACTACCCAGGAGAGCGCAAGCCATCTCGCGAAGTGCGCTTTGGCCGTGGGGGCTATGGGCCACCAGCCGTTGAGCTCCCACCTCCTTTGATGATGCTGCCCACGAAACCGGAAGCCATCGTGGAGAACATGCGGCCTATCCAGCCGAGCCAGGCCTCCAGCCCTCCAAGGGACCGTAAGATGTTCCGGGGAGACTGGTCCAAGGGGTCCAAGGGGACTGCAGCAAGCCGGTTTTCCAACGATGGTGTCGGCAACGTTTACTCGATCAACGGCATCAGCAAGCAGCCCATTCAGTTCATCCGCAATTCTTTCGTGGAGTTCATCAGGTCGAACTACTCTGCGGTGGAACGGCAAGACACATGCTGTAGCCGCATGGTTGCGTCGTTCATCATGTTCTGTGTGTGGCTGACGGAGCTGAAGGAGCCGGAACGAACTGGTTGCCTGGCCAGTGTAGTGCGCAGCGCGTGCTTTTCCTTGGCCTCCACCATGGTCATCCTGGCGAACGCAGTCTTCATCCTTTACGCCACAGACTATGAGATGGAGCATCTCAGCGATCCCACAAACGCCCAGATACGGTCAGTCGATGCTTGCCTCGCCGGTATTTACGTTGCAGAAGTGCTGCTGAAGCTCATTGTGCACAAACTGTTCTTCTTCTGGAACGACGAGTGGAGGTGGAACCTCTTCGACTTCTTTCTCGTGGTGTTCGCAGTTGTGGAGAACATCTTGGCCAATGATTGGCTGTATCCTGCCCAGGACACGAGCGTCAACCTGATCTTTCTTAGGATCTTCCGCTTCTGCAAGATTGTGAAGAGTTTCCGCCTCTTCCGCACCTTGAAGTTTTTCAGCGAGCTCCGGCTCATGCTGGACTGCATGATCGGTTCAGTTCTGAATGTGATCTGGTGCGTCATTGTGTTGTTCTTCGTGATGTATGCCTTCGCGCTCTTTGTCCAGCAGCTGCTGGCTTCGTATCTTGTGGAGGATGGCGGACGGGAGAGCCCTGAGGATGTGCAGTTGATCTATAGCTACTTCGGCTCCGTGGGCACGACCTTGATTACCCTCTTCCAAGCGAGCACCTCCGGGGTGGACTGGAGGGACCCCTACAACGTACTGGCGGTGTCCGGGCCAGTTCTACCCGCTGCCTTCCTCTTCTACGTGGCCTTCGTCTTCATCTCTGTCTGGAACATCATCACCAGCACATTTGTGGAGAAGGCCCTCAAGCTCGCGCTGCCGGATATCGATCTGCTTGTCATGGAGCAGCAGCTCCAGGACTATGAAGACGCGCAGATGCTGGCCCAACTCTTCGGGCAGATGCTTCACACGGATGAGGACGGTCTGCAACGCGTTGGGCTGGAGGAGTTCCGGCACCTGGTTGAGAACAGCGAGTTCCTTTTGTATTTGCAGACCAGGGGGATTGACATCAAGAATGCCGAAACGTTTTTCAAGATGCTGGTGGAACTGCATGGGGAGCCCACCATCGACGCCATCACTTTCGCAAATGCGTGTGTGCGTATGAAAGGTGCTGCAACGAGCATCGACCTCCAGACGGTCATGTACACTACACATTTGCTGAACAAGGACCAGCGACGTGCTTTCCAGTTTATGTACAGCCGCTTGAAATCGATCGAGTGCATGCTCCGTGGGACGGCCGAAGATGACTGGCCTGACGCGACCCCGATCCCGTCTCCGAAGAGCCAGCCGAACTCGAGCAGAGAATGGACCCCGTCCAGTGGGCTGGGTCCTGTGACGGGAGAGCTGGACCTCGCACAAGTCGTGCGTCGTTAAGAGGCGAAGCAGCCGATCATGCAGCCGCGCTTGAAATAAAAAGGATGTAGTCTGTGGAGTCGACTTGAGGCCGCACGTGCCTCTCCTGCGCACCATGGACCAACCTCGCTGCATGGCCCGAGTTGCGAGAGTCTACGCGCACTGACCAAGGCCGCCGCCTGAGATGGTGCGGCAGTCAACACAAGAGGTTCAAGCGCCTCGGCGAACTCGGCGCAGCGGCGCGTGTCATACAAGGCCACCATGAAGCCCGAGGGAGTCCTGAGGCTTCTTGATCGGGCACTTTGATGACTTTCCTGCTAATTGCTGAGTTTGCTCCTTCAGCCTACAAGACGGAATCGCAAGTGTTCGAACCCTCGGCGTTCGCTGTGTTCGGTCAGATTTTCTAAAACATCGTCCGGACTCTTCCAGAATCTTCCAATCCTGGGGCCTCTAGAGCCTGCAAGCCAGATTTTGATGAGGGCGGAGTTCGGCAAGAGACTGTCGAATCGACAGCCCAGGCGCTCTTCGATGCGCAAGTGAGGCTGCCGGCAGTGTGAAGAGTGTACACCCGAAGATCATGCGGCATGGTGCTTTTAACTGTTAAAGAAGTGTTGACTTACACGACGATCGTGTTTCCGTAGGTAGCTACTTGGGACAAAAGCAGGTCAGGCTTTGAAAACTCTGAGGGAGCTGGCTTTGGGTTTCGGAATCTCAAAGCCACGCACAGGGGACACAGATGTGCCTATGACTTTGTGCTAGAACTGCTTCAGAACAAGACGATAAGGAACAGAACAGAATTGAGGATAATCCCTCTACAGAAAAAGCATGTGGGCCGCGCTCTCTTGGAGTGGTTTTGAGTGTTGGCATTGCAGTGTTGGGACACTGCATGGTGCGAAGTCAGAGGACTACCACCAGACGGTTCTGTCATCTGCGACTAGGACTTTCGCCCGGAACAGCTCTGCTAACATCAGCCACTTCCATCCGTTTTGATATAGCGCTGTGGTTGGGTTTGCAGTTGTCCGACGGAACCTTGGGAAAACTATGGTTCCTGCGCTGCAGCCGTTGAGGGGAGATGGTTTGGCAGTTCCGGTATGCATGCTGAGTTTGCAGGCTTACGCCCGCAGATCTCGCAGCAATCAACGGCGAGGCCGGTGACGTCGTAGCAGATGCCACCCGGCTATACGGCAGAACACAGTCTCATCCGTAGAAATCCTAGACTAGAGCTACCTACAAGCCCTGAACGCCATAACCCCGAAACATGTCCAGGCTTCTGGCCTCTCGAATTTCGAGAATGTAAGATTTAGAGTGTAAGTTTAAGTTCTGGGGTTCGGACCGGTGGGGGGTTCGAGAGTTATAGCCTCAGGGTCGAGAGGGTCTGGACCTACAAAGCGCATAAGAGGGTTTGGTGGCTTCTCTGCGAAGCTCTGGGAACCTCGGGTCTTTACCTAGAAGGAAGTCATGGTTTAAGGACTGTTTAGGAGTTGATCCCAAAGGTTTAAAACCTGGAGGACTGGAGCTGCAGGGAAATATTTGGCCCCCGCATCGCAAGGAGCTTCGAGCTAAATCAACCATACAGACGCCTGTGGGCTTATTATTCAGTTCTTCAGACAATCAAACCCTGCATTGCGGGCTCGTCTTTGCAAACTAGGAGACCCAAAACCCTACACCATCCTCAACCCTAAACCCCAAACTCGGGCCTATGAAGCCCCGAAACCAGTCCAAAGAGGGTAAAAATCGGCGAAAAAGCCCTAAACGCCTGCGTATAGGTCCAAGCCTGAAACTAACTGTAACTAACTTGCCCATATTGGAAGTTGAAGTCCGTGGCTATAACCCCGAGCTCCTCAGGAACCTAAAACCCCTACAGTTCCAATGCTGCGGACCTTTAACCTAGAGACTGGCTCGAGATTGGGGCTCAGCGTTGTGAATCTTGCCTTCTCCTCAGGAAGCATTTGCTGTTGGGCAAGTTCATCTCACCTTCGAGGACGTTAGCTTTTCCATCCCCCAGACGCAGAACCACTGTATATCGCATGCCACGAAATCAGTCCGGACTGGCGCAACACCGCGAAGTGGCAACACTGGTGACAGTGGGAACAGCACAAGCAGACTCTTGGCATGACTTCAATCAGCTGTTAGCAGTTGAAGCCGTCCTCCAGGCAAGTTGAACTGCTACAGGTTATAGTTGACTCCTGGGATCAAAGAACCCCCCATGCAGTGTTCCATTTCTCGGAAACAAGCCCACAATCCACCCCACGGTGTTTCCTGCCATGCGGATCTTGGATCTATCAAGTCGTCCGCAGGTCTGAAGCACTGAACACTGCGAAGCCTCAATTACCCGCCTTTGACGCTCCAGGAATTTCCTGCCCAGTCTCATCTGCCTGCCACGCTGCTCCAAGGCGATGGGCGGAAGAAGATCCTGGACCGAATTTCAGGTCATTACGAACCTGGAGCCTTGGTTGGATCGATAGAAGGGTCCGATGCCATGGCCTGTAGAAGCCTTCGGCCTTCTGGTGTTTTGTTGCCGGACCTCGTTGTCCGAGCGCTTTGTCAACGCGAACTCGATTGAGAGGGCCCTGGGCTCTTCGTGGCCCCATGATCCCTTCATGAGGTCAGCTCGTAGCGCTGATGGGGCCGTCAGGCCCATGTCACCGTTTTGGGGCTGGAGACTTGATTTCAGGCTAGCGGCGAGAGCATTACTTCATGAAGCTTGTTCCGATTCGAGACTTTGCAAGATGTTCCCTCCTCCTGCCAATGAGGTGGATGCATAGGCCTGAGAGTGATCCGTAAGCGGGGGGAACCTTGGGAAGCCACGGAGGCATGGCTGTTTAGCATACAGGCATACAGCCTCGGCTGGGAGTGTGGTGAACCTGGCATAAACAGAAGAGACAACAGCTCTGTATTTGATGCACGCCTTGCAGAACGGGGTTCGTGACATGTCTGGGTTGATGGTTGAACGCTTTGCGGGGCATTCCTGCACTTTGGGGTAACTCCTGCAAGCTTGCACTCAAATAGAGCTCGTGATTTCGTGTTGAGTGGATGTGCATTGCCCACCCCAGGCGAACTAGGCGGTGAGAGGGTTGTTGTTTTGCTCTTGCAGAAGAATTTCGACAAGGCGAATCGCCGAATGACCATGGTACAGCCGTGCGTACAATTTCCTGCCAAACCAAGTCTTTACCCAGCCGGTGCGGATTGATTCGCGGCCTCAGACCACATCAATTTGATTTCGGTTCGTGAGTCGATGCAGGCTCGGGAAAGACAACCTTACTCGACATCCTGGCCTGGTGCTCAATGCCCTGGCAGAGTACATCCGAGAAGTAGCTAAGTAGCTCTAAGTACCTCATGTGCTCCTGCCGAGGCCGGAAAGAAGTCCGCTCCTCACGAGGCAGGTTGCGTGCCGAGCAGGTCTGATCTCTGCTTGCAGCTTCCGAGCTTCGTGGCACCTGCATCTCCGTGCTGCCTTGCTTTCACAGGGCATCATCCATGTCAACGGTCGTCCGCGGGATATGCTCTGGAATCGGATATCAGCCTACGTACCTCAGGACCTCCGAAATTTGCTCATTTGGATGAAGATCTTGTCTCAGATCGCTGAGATTCGCGTTGTGTCTGCCAGCAGGACGATCTCATGTTCGCACACCTGACAGTTGAGGAAGTGCTCAGGCGCGTGGTGCGCTCATGATGCTGATGGAACTAACATCCACTTTCCCACCATAGTGCTCCTATGCGCATGACAAATGCCTGCTACCCGACGTGGCATTGCAGGTCGGAGTGCGCAGAGTGCCTTGTTTTTGGGTTGTCAGATGTTCCTAGCTTACTGACGCTCAGAGCCCACCGTTGACGGGCACCTGTCGGGCACGCACCACAGTAAAGAACTGCGGTGCAGATGTCTCCAAGTGTGCAGGCAGTGTTGAAGAGTGTGAGCTACCGTAGCAGCGCGGCAAGAATCGGCAAGACCGTTTTTCCAGGTTCCATGCGAACCTGAAAACGCAGCGCCCAGCCAGGCAGTGAAAGGGGGACCGTCCTCTTTCATTGAGAGCAGAGTTCAGATGTCAGGCTGAGAGCTTCGAGCGGTCACAGTGCCTGCGTGTGTGCGCCACACGGTGCAACCATGTGCTCATGTGCTCCATCAACTAGACACCAACCCCACCCGGAGGAATGGCTTCTGCAAGTTGCCCTGTCATGTTGGCAACGCCTGGTTGCTTTTGGCCGAATCTACAGAACATCCCTCGGCCACAACCTGCCAACCTAGAGCAAAGCATCCCGGGACAGCAGTGTAAAGACGGTTCTGCCGGGGTCGAAGTGCTTTGATATGGGTATTATAGGCCACTTTGGATGGAGAGCGGCTTCTTCTTGCTGCCGCAATGCCCTGGACAGGATCACGCGGCAGATGGATCAGCTTCGGATCGAGGCGTTTTTGCAGGCTTTCGGGCTCCACGACGTCAGGACAGGTCGTCGCTGCCGGGCACTGTGTGATGTATCCATGTTGTGTGCCATGACCTATGATAATCAGATATAAAGACGACAACACTCGGTTCGACCTGTGTTACCCGAATCAATCTGGCGCATGCCCCAGTGCACTGCAAAAGAACTTCGGCAAGCTGCTCCCACTCAGCTATGCGGACTCGCAGAAAGCTCGGGGCTGCATGCCTTTCCAACAGGAACTCCTACATCGGCGATCCCAAGCAGGGCTCCCGCGGCATTTCCGGAGGCCACAGTATGCTTTTCCGATGGTCGCTCGCAGATGAACGGCGCTGTAAAAAGCACAAGGGGGAAGCACTTTGCATAAGTGCTTCCGGCTCCTTGTTGGTCCACCGAGCCCTTGCAGGTCAACGGCGGCGGCTTTCCTTGGTGAAGGGGGTGGCTTGCGGAGCTGCTGGGCGGCATGGATTCAGATTCAATGTGGAGAGCTGTTGGCTCATTTTGTGCACATGTACTATGGATGCTCGGGCTTCATCTCTTAAAGATCGATTCGATCGCACCGCGACAATCTGGAGATAGCTGCTAGAAGGGAAAGGACCGTCGAGAACCAACGGCAATGCTCGCTCGATACGGTTTCCCCGAACTTCTCAGTATTGAGTTCTATTACCTCGTCTAGAGTCTACAAGTCCGAAGTAAGTATTAGTTGCTGAAATGATGTGGCCATCGAGGCTTGCGAGATTTATATATGCTGCTGGTGCTTGCTCCTCTTGTGAGTCGTCCTGCGGCAGCAGATTTCAGGCGCGGGTCATGTTCTGCGACGAGCCGACCTCGGGTCTTTCTGCCACCGATGCTGAGCTTTGCGTGCGTTGCTCGGCCTCTGTGGAGATCAAGAGTCAAGAGTTTCAGAAATTGGGATCGGTTTTTGTTTTCCCGACAAAGCCGAAATCTGCTGCCTCGAGCTGAGGCTATATGCGATGGCTCGCGCACAGATACTCCGATCCTTGTCATCACTTTCGGGCAAGAGCTGTAGCACGGCACTGGCCGGGCGAAGGAAGTTTTTGTAGAGTGCTCTTCATGTGCCCAGGTGTTGATCATCATGTCCATCCACCAGCCACGAAGAGAGGTCGCCAGGCAGGGCGGGGTGTCTTGTCATAAGGTTAAGAAGTTTAAGGTGAAGAAGTTTAGCTTCGCTCGAATGTGCTTCGGCTGTCCTCAGCCAAACGAATCCAGGATGAAAGGTACTCTTACCAGACAACCTGAACAGCCCTCTGGTGCTACGGTGGCCGAACAGACTGCGAATCGTGAGAGCTTGAGAGGCTCTTCGACGAGCTGATCCTCCTCACTTCCAGGCCAGGTCGGGTGGTCTACCAAGGACCCCCGAGAGCTGTCAAGGTCACAGAGTTTGTGCTGGATGTAGATATGGCGTGTGCGATACCCATGATACCCATGTCTTGCCAAATGCATGAACGCCACAAATCTTGTGTCAGTGGTCTTCGAAGTGGGGAAAACTGTGTGCGCAATTGCAATGCTGCAGGACCGATGAGAGATTTGGCTGACTACTCAGCGAAGGTGGAAGAACTCCAACGAAGTGCTATGAAAGGGAAGGTTGTCAAACATATCTGCATCATCGCATGCCCGCTGTCATCATCTACCATCTACGCACGACGCTGTCGCGGCTGCGGTTTGCACCTCTATGGATTTGTGGCGCAGGTCGGCTGTCCTATTCCGTTGAAGCGGTCGCTCGGCGAAGCCTTCTGCGGAGATCCAGACATCGGCTGGATCAGGGTTCGTGCTTTTTTGCGTAGAGCTGAGTCAAGAAGGTTAGATCGAGTGTCTGTCTGTGGGTGTGTGTGAGATCAACAACAAGAAGAAAGCAGCCGGCTGTTCGATCACTCGAAGTGCCTTGTCAGCCTTCCCAGGAATCCCACAGACTTCATCATGGACCTGATTACACCCGGCATGAAGGGTGCCAAGGAAGACGAGTTCGTGCGGCGCCTTGGCTTGAGTTGGGCACCTCCAGTCCGTTGGAAGGTCGCGCGTTGACGAGGGCAGAGCAGAAGCTCTTTCGAGGCACTTCCAGGCAATGCGGAGCCCTATAATCGAAGAAGAGGTGGCCAAGCACCTCAACGAGGACGCTCTCTTCCGGGCTAGTTGGGGCCCTTGTCTCGCGATGATGAATCGTGCTTTCCATGGTCCGCATCCGACACGATGTCAGAATCAAGTACACCGTCTTCCGGAGATCTGAAGCCTCGAAGACCTCACTTCGAGAACGCAAGCCCTATAGAAGCGTACGCAAGAAGAACATCTTCCAAACAGGATCGTGGCAGTGCCATGGAGATCCTCCGAGCAATGCGCGAGCCCATGCAGGCTCCGCCCTCCGTTCTGGGTAGAAATCATAGGTGGCCCGACCAGTAACTTGATGTGTCTTGCTTGAGCCGTGAGTCTGGTCCAACCGCTGTGTGGGCGTTGCGGGTGGCGCGAACCTCCGTGTCTTCAGCCAGGTGTTTGGTACTATGCCACCCTTGCGCAATAGCCGCCCGACTGCACCATCAGCCTCCGCAGTAGCAAACATCGTTGCGACAGGCTCAAGCCACCACATGAGATCTGCCCTGGAAAGCGAATCAAATCAAATCATGATCAGTTCAGGGGGTCTGCTTCTATCTTTTGTTCTTTTTGCGGCAACAGTCTAGAACGAACGCGGCCCTGGAACCACTGAACAACTCGCACAAGCAGGCAAATCTCCACACATAGGGTTTAGGGTGTTTGGGATGTTTCGGATGTTTGGGGTTGAGGTTTCAGAGCTCGGGGCGCAGGATTCAGGGTTGTTTCGGCGCTCACTCTCGCACAATGCCAGGAAAGGTCTGAAGTCGACACTGACAATCAAGAACTTGTAGGCTTTAGGGTTTAGGGGTACGAAGAGATTTGGGGTCTTTCAAGACAAGATTCGGGCTGTGACTGTGCGTAATCGCATCGTTTGTTGTTGTCCGACTTGAGCACTTGACAAAATGACTGCGGGGAGCCATGGCTTTGAGAGACGAAGCCCTATACCCCGGTGAACACCCAAAGCCCTGAAACCCCCTGGAAGGCAACACCCTTAGCTTTCCCCACGCCCTGAGCCCCAAACCCTCAACCCGACACCTCCAAAACCCTAGACCCACATTCATAAACCCCTGAGTACTTAAACCCCGCCCACAATCCCTCCTCACCCCTCAGTCGCCTTGACACCACACGCTGAAGCCTAAACCCTTGCACCCCAAACCCTGAGCCCTGCACCCTGGACCTTGAATACTTCGATCATCTTCGATCCTGAACCACCCTAAACCCTGAACCCAACACCGAACACCCCAAGTCCCGCTACACGAAACCAGAAGCCGCACAAACTCCCTTTAAGGTCTATGAATTCTAAACTCCAAACACCTAAACTCTGTAAACAGCTACACCAAACTATACCAACCTAAAACCGAAACCCGAAAACACCTAAACCCCAAAGTCCTTGAATCCTGCACCCCGGAGCCTGCACTCCAAACCCGGAGCCACCCCAAACCAAAAACCGTAGACACCAACCCCACCCGAACCCTAAACCCTGCTCGTGAAAGCCCCTGAAGCGCTACACTACACAAGCGAAAACCCTCACACCTTAAATCCGCGAACCACTTCGATAGTCTTAACCGCAAACCCCCACCACCTACTTGTAACACTACTAAACTCAAGGCCGCCTCAACTTTCTTCCCGAAAGCCCCGAACCAGTTTTGACATCTGCATACATAGCAATTAGATGTTGCAGTTCAGCGGATGATCTGAGCAATGCCACTGTTGTCCGGTGAAGTTGCCAGCTGCCACACGGAACCGCCGAGGCAAGTTCGGCGTGCCATTCCGTTCGCAGGCCACGCCCGTGAGCTTGTGTGAGGTACAGAAGCCCCGAGAATAGAAGAGCCCTGTGTAGACATGCCCGTGTCATCTTCAAGGAAGCGCAAGGTTCCTGCAGTTTCGCCCTCGCTTCAATCCGCCTGAACCCAGCTCAGGTTCGGGCCGTGGCCTGGCGTCAGTTCAAGCTGAGGCCTTCGTGGCTACTATATTATATTATATTATATTATACTATATTATACTATAGTATATTATATTATATTATATTATATTATATTATATTATGATGGTCTGCATTTTGGGTGCATCGCTGTCGTTTGTCCCAGTTTGGAAGACAACAAAGTGCGAGCCCATACTTTCGCATGCTAGCAGTAACGAACCTTGCGTCCCCGTTATGATGGTATGCGGAGCAAAAAACGCAAAAAAAAATCGATGTTTCTGAGAGGCCGAGTTTCTTGATTTTGACAGGGAAGTGCAATGGCAGGGCGGGATGGAGGCTTAAGGCCAGGCTCTGCACAATGTGTTCTTTCAGCGTGGCTTCCAACAATGTTGGTAAAGCATGGTAGGGCCTATACTTTCGCATGTTAGCATTGCTCTTCATGGCATTACCATTATGATGATCTGCGAGACAAAAATGCAAAAACAAAAACACAAACGATGATTTAGCGCGGAAACAGTGTTTGATACGTGGTTTGGGCATGGATGCACTGGCCAATGCATGCGTTGGGAGCATGGACGTTGTCATGGTTTGGGCATGGATGCACTGGGAAATGGATGGGTTGGTAGCACGGACGTTATCATGGTTTGGGCATGGATGCACTGGCCAATGGAAGAGTTGGCAGCATGGACATGGCGCGATACAGACCTGGGCGACAGAGAAAGCGGGGCAAGCGAGGGCGATGCAGCTTATACTTATGATTACCAGATAATTTGTTGTTATTACTATTCTTGAAATCATTGTTATATTTTGGGTCAATGCGGCTGACACTCAGAGCCCAGCTGCAAAAATGTCAACGCGGCGCATCCCTTGCCCCGGACTCACACTTGTATCCCGAGTACGCGACATGACCTTGTTGCAACCTCTCATCAGCTGCTAGCTGCGAGATGCGAGCCTTGCAGACCACATTAAGCAATACTTCATTGGCCAAATGTCAATCTGGGTCTGAGCAGGTACCGAAACAAGACTCACCTCTTGATGGACCTGGCTGCAGCCACTTGCCGGACATGTCGCTTCAACTGTCAGGGGGTGAGTACCCGAAGGCATGGGCGGCCAGTTCGGGGTTGGTATGGCTCAGGGTCCCAGGCTGCCAGAGTCTCGGGTCTTGCCGTGTCATCTGGGTCAATCTCTCACCGGCGCTGGTTTCTGCTCTGAACACTTTCGGACCAACAGGTTTAGAAAGTCTCCCCACAGCAAGAACTGGGAGTACTGAGCGCGCTACAGATCCCTGCGGAATTACAGGCTGTCGCCAAAGCCGTGATCCTGGGCCTGGCATTCTATGAGCCCGGACTAAACTTGGGGCAAATTCAGGGGACACAGTTTGGAATTGTCGACGGGGCTATGGAAGTCCCGAGTGTGTCTGGCTCTTCCGACGTGAAGTGTTTAAGCTGCAAACCTCTTTCCATGAAATAGATGGACGAAGGTAAGTTTGCAAGGGCCCCGTTCAGATTACATGCTTGACGGCGGACTCAGGATCTCGTTAGGTGGTAGTTTGTCTGAAGTTTTGATGTGCCTGAGATAAGGACATTGGCGAGAAGAGTCAGCAGTTCCAAGTTGGCTTCTTCTTCTTTGCGGCTCCCTTACGGACTGCTGCGAAGCGACTTTCGCTGTCTGATCGTGTCTCTGTCGCTCTTCCTCTTTGCAAATGTGAGGTCTTGATGGCCTGCTCCATCGACCAGGTCAAGACCATGCCGGCCATGATCGCCGAGCGCCACAGCATGATTCTGCGGGGTGTTGCAGTTATTCTGTGACTGATCTGTCGCAAGGCACCTCAAAGAAGAGCCACTCCCTGTGTTGAGGGTCTCTCACCCCGGCCAGGCGGAATGTCATGAAGCTGGAGACCTCTGAGGTCACCTGCCCGCGTTGCAAAGGGGCTTTCTTGAACAGTAAAGTTGAGCACATACCAGACGGCTCCGTCGATCTTGAGCAAGTAGGAATTCAGGCGCTGGATGCCCGCCCAGGCCTTGTACAGTGAGTGGGCCTACATCCTCCCGGTCAGCCTTATGAGTGCGATGCAGGCCTGGGTGTGGAAGCAGAAAGGAGGAGGGCGGTTGTAATGCAAAGACTCTAAACCATGTTCTTCGCACCGTGGGACATTAACGGGTGAAGTCACGCCGTGGTCCCGACAGCTATCTTCAGCTCTTGGTCGCAGGCAGTCGTGACGCACTTCGTGCACCTCACCAGCATTGATGCCAGCAGGAGTTCGCAGGAGTTCAATGTTCTTGTCAGTTTGGATAAACTTGGAACGTTCCATGCGTCCTGCAGTCCAGGCTCACAGAAGTTGTCCGTGCTATTGCCGAAGCGAAACACGCGAATCATCGTTGATACATGAGCTTCAGGTTCATCGCTCTTCTCTGGCCGTTCCTGCAATTCCCTGTCTCTCTCTTTGGGCCTCTTGGCCGGCAAAGCAGAAGCAGCTATGCGGGCATGCAGTAGCTATAACGAGAAGTTCGTTTGGCATAGCTAGGAATCGATCAGGGAGCCTTCTGCCATGCTGCGGTCAAGGGTCATGTGGACATCCCGTTAGGCAGGGTGACGTGAGTCCCAGGCATGTTTGGTTTTGGTCCCTGATGGTCAACATGGTCATGGACAGCCTTTACGTCATGCTCTCTGGCATCGCCAAGGACGACCTCGACGTTCGTGTTAAACCACGGACCCCGAAGCCGATGAGAACTGAAAATACTCTACGGTAGAAGTTGTCATGCGAACCCCCAGCCGTCCTTGCTTTCCATAGCCACAAGCAGGTGATCAGTAGTGAAGTTTGCCGTCTTGACTCTTGAGGACGCGACGATTGCACAGATAATGTCGCTACCTTTCCTTCTTGTCTTCATGCTCTACAACGGTGGCTTGGCATATTTGGTCGAGTTATGTCCAAATGGGATGAGATCATCAGGTGGTTTTGCTTGACTCTGTATCTCCTGGGGATGCTGAAGGCATGAGTTTGTTGTCGCTCGAAGAAAAGGTCTGTAAATCAGATGCGTTGAGTTTCGAGGGGACTTGTGGCGCAATGTCGGATTTCGAAGCCATGCTGCAGGTTTCACTGTTTATCGAACGACATGCCCGAAGTGGCTGCTCTGGGCGTTGAATATCTCTCCAGTGGCCTATGCGATGGAAGCCATTACAGCAGCTTGGCCGAGAACTTGTGTCGAATACTACTCCCGCCTGACATGAAACTTACGGGATATCTTGCCCACTGATCGACATAGGCGAGCACCATTGTAATTACTGCCTTGGTGGTGTCTAACGTTTGCACACGGGCTGCACCAGTCTGTCTTTGGGCAGTCGGCAGTATGTCACTGCCAGACTTGCAATATGCATTGTTTAGTTTGCAGTCGCCAAGCCATAGCTGCCTGTAAACGTTGATGAGCTGGCGTTATGGAAACAACCACAGTGCTCGGGGCATAAGGGCACGAGCAATGAAGACTCTCCTCATCAGATGGGGCCGAAAGGGTTTGAGCTTCAAACCAGCAGAGTTGAACAACTTTTCATTGTAGAGGCGCGCGATCGAGAAGTGTTTGTCCGAAGACACCCGGGCCACTGCTAGCCTCAGCCAGTCCTGCCCAGATCGCAGCTTCACGCATTTGCTTCTACGATGGGCCTGCATGCGGGAAGGACGGGCAGTTGCTGTTAATTGACGGAATCGGCTCGGAACCGTCGGCAAGGGGCAGATGAGCGCTGCCAAAATTATTTCGATGGGTGATCAAGCTTTAAGAGGCATGTGCATGGAAAGGCTGGTGAGTCCCGGCAAGACATGGCGATCCGTGTCCATTCACTCGAACATTCGAACTTCCATAGCATGCATGCGTCGTGACCCGCCGTGAAGGTGCTGAGCATCAGACGAGATGTACCATGAAACCTTTGTGCAGAGAAGGTGCTACTCGTAGCTTCCTAAGCCTTGCATTAGCAGGATTCGCTCTATCCTGCCGCTCGGCCTGGGAGTGTGGGTTTGGCACATTTCGGGCAGGGGCTTTGTGTGAGATGACAAGTGGCTGGAACTCTTTCCCTAGACATGCACGACGACACTTGAGACGCTGGATGCGAGGGTTTGCACAGCATCCCTCGAGGGACAGGTAGTTTTGGTCCGAAGAGAAAACGACAAGAAGCACTACCTGATGATGCTAACTAAGCCCAAGCGTTCATGTTGCGACCAGCTGAGGCAATCCTCGGGCAGTTCAGCTACATCGACCAAAGCCCGCGAGCTATCGTGGTGCCTTGGTGTCCGAAGCCAAAGAGCAACTTGTTAGATTCCTATACAAAATGGCTACGGCTCAAGCTGGAGGGCTGCATGAATGGGTTTAGGCCCAGGCCTCTCTCGACAGCCGCGCAATGGCTTTGGCATTCCCACAGTGCGAAGCAGGCAGGGGCGGAGTGGAACTTGAAGACAGGTTCAGGGGCCCTCGAGATGATTTTGACCACAGAGACGGAGATGTCGTGTCCAGGTCCTCGAGGAGAAGTTGGGCCTGGCAGAGAACTTGAGGGAGACCGACGGCTTGTCGGTGTCGGTTCAGGTCACGCTCGCCTCGCCTAAATGCATGCATGAGGTCATTTCCTTGTGAAGGACGAGGCCACCGATAAGAGTCGACCAAGCTGTCTAAAGGTTCGTTCCGTGGATTCCCAAGATGTGGACGCTGTCACCGAAGATGACACGCAGGTGACCTTCAACTGTGACATCTGGACCTACTTTGCGCTTGTTGGCCTCGGGAGGACTGGCAGCTGGGACGCGCGCTTCACGTTCAGTCTGGCACTGGCGAGCTTAGCCATGCAGGCGGCATTCGTCATGATTTTGACGTCCGAGTTCTTCCTCGAGCGACCTTTCGAGGAAAAGGTGGAACTTGCCAGAATCTGGCGCACCACCGTGGCCCACGACTGCGCATGTACAAGGACCAAAGGCCTATGGGACTGGTCATGGCGGCTTGGTCGCAGATCCCACGATCCGATTACACTATGAATGAGAATTTCGGCTTCACCGAACTCTCCGCTAACCGCTTCCGGACCGCTTCTATGGCTTCGGATCCATTGTGTTCGTGTGCTTTGCCATGGACTGCTTCTTGCTGGTGGCCGGGATCCGTCTTCTAGCATCCACCACATCTATCTCAAAGTTGATACTCGATGCGGTCGCGCTCGAGGCCATCTTGGACATCGACGACTTTATGTTTCATTCCCTGGCGCCCTTGAGAGCCAGAGTGCTTATCCAGAGGGATTGGATCCCATGCAAGTGAAAATCAGTCAGGTCAGAAGCCAAGTCGAGTCCGGATTTAACTTTTTGCCTTCTCGCCTTTGCTCTTGTGCTGCCCTACCTCTTCATGCTGGCCCTACTTGGCCTCCCCATGCAAGTGGTGAAGCACGAGCTTTGTGGTGGAACCCAGGAGTTCGTAATCGCCAACAATCAGGACATCCAGATGACCCATGCACTGCGAACGGAAGCGGAGAGAGGCATAGAGCTTCTTTCTAGCGAAGTGGCCGTGGAGGAGTCTTAAGCACAGTTCTGAAGCACTTCCTCGACACATGGTCTTCTCGCCGACCTCGCAGGCCTTCGACACGGACTAGGTCCGAACAATGGCCGAGGAGGCTTCAACGTTCCCCATGTGCTTCGAGACCCAGGTCCTGCAAGAGACAGGTCGAGTCTACCCGGAACCTGTGGCCATGTCGCTGATCGAACCACGCTTTCAGTCTATGGTGGCGGAATTCGGCCGCAATGCCACTACTTGTGAGGAGATGCAGGACCTCTGCCACTTGCCAGAGGCACGGATGCTGCGTTCCCTTGTGGTGCGACTTGCGGCTGTGCTTCCGCAGGAACCTCGACCTGGTACAAGGTCGCTCGGCAAGGGTGTTCCGAAAGCTGTCTGGCCACATCCGAAGGATGGCGATCGTTTTGGATGGACTACGTGTCGGTCGAGTCGTCCTCCTTCGGTCCGAATTTAGCTCAAGCAAACATGCTGACGAGTCTGAATCAGACCGTGCAAGCTATGCTGAGTGAACGACTTCTTGTGCCCGGAAACCTGCCGATGCAAAGCATCTCTCTCGGGGTTTTGTCCGTCCAACTGCATTTCCGATGCCGTGCACGGCTCCACGAACTCGAGCAATGCATGATTTGTTCCGTGAAGAAGGCCGTCGATGCAATTGCACCGAAAGCAGTTCCTTCTGCGAGCCTGAGGATTGCCGGGTCATGATTACGCTTCTGGAGCTACAGCCCTCAACCTTGTGTGTGAGTCGAAACCGCTTTCGTTCAGTGAGTTTCACACAGCCGACTTAAGACCACAAACATCGCTTGCATTGTCCGGGTGCGAGAGCCGAAGATTCCTTTTTTCGGCCGTGTTGTTGAGACCAGAGACGAGATATAGTGCTAACCAATTTCTTCCAGCTACGGGTTTGAGAAAGATGTTCGAAGCGCCTGTCGGAACCCTTCACCCCCACGCAGACGCAGGTGATGTGTGCTGACATCCTCGTCTTCCGAGCCGTTCATATGGTGTGTCTTAAATTCCTCAACAACATCCGGAGGCAGAGCTCTAGATCTGCAGCCAGGGTGTTACTAGGACGTGCTACTTTCTTCTGTAAAGTTTTTCTCGAGTTGCGCAAGCTTTCGATGCCAGCTGATCCCTGGAGGTGAGAGTGTAAAGAAGCATGGGCCTCCAGTGATGATGCACAGCTGCGGCTTCTGCCACATTTTGAGACAAGGGCTCATGGCCCTGGTCATAGCCTTTGATTTGTGCACCGTTCTGTAGCAGCTTCACCAAAGGCGGTGTGAATTCCCACATGCATCCTATAGTCGCGTTCAGATGTCTTTATGGGCCCATGCAGGACAAGAGCAGGGACATTTTGCCATGGATGTCAGATACGCTGATACCCGCACTGGTTAGTGAATCTGAAAGCGAATACCACAGTTGCTGTGCCTCCAGTCGTCATAACCTGTCGACTGGTCGGTGCCTTCTGGCGCCTGCCACGCCTTCAGAGAGTGCTGAGGCATAGTTTTAATAAAGCTTTGCTTAGTTATGCACTGGTGTGTTGCCAAGCAGGGGTTCGACCGAACACAGCAGAACAACAGCCAGGATAGCTGCATCCAGTTCTGAGACCGAAAACGAATGCTACAGCTCACATTATGATGGATCCGACAACTTTTGACGGCGCTTGTCTTGAACTACAACCTTTACCATGCTGGACTCTGGGCATGCGGCACACCCTGCGAGACCAGCACAATAGTGCTGTCTCCCTCCGCGCGTGCTGCACAAGACGGCGATTTTAGGGGCCTGGAAGGGTTGCGCATTAGCGCATAGCGAGCACACCCTCAAAAGAAATTTACGTCAGCCATGACGGGTTGAAAGAAGGCAGCTTGTTGCATTTCACACAGTAGACACGCCCAGCGGCCATGTAGCTCTGCTTCTGCAGATCTCCAGCCATTCCGGATCCTGCAGTCCCCAACCATGCATGGACTGGCCTTGCCAATCTGTGGGCACTGCGAAAATCTTGTGCTGCTGTTGGGGTTTCTCTGATGTTGCTTACTTCTATCAGGAGGTGCGCTCGACACCTGATGCGAGTGTCATGGTGCCGCAACAGAACGCAGAGTGTAACACTGTCGTTGCGGCTGCATGTGGGATTGTGGGGACGAGCAGGTATGACTTGGTCTGTAGGACCTAGAGCTCCGATCAAGCCTTTGTAAACAGGTCCTGCAGGCCTGCGCATGAAGCAGCTCACCGCGGCGTGCTAGTGGTTCAAGACTTAGCTCCGTCATCAGCTCGAAGCGGGCAGGGGCTGCCATGGGTGACGACCTGGCAAGCCTCAAGAAGCGGATCGAAGAGTTGGAGAAAGAGAAATGCCTGGAGAAGGAGACGTCAAGACTGTAGGAGGAACTTGCTCTATCCGTTCTGGGTAGGTGCAGACCGTCGAAGTTGTTTCAACTGCTCTGGAAGATTTTCTATCTGTCTACCTACCTGTTTTATGTATCTACACTGTCTAACTGCATGTATGCATGCACTTCGGCCGGTCTGGACTATGTAGCTCGGTAAATAGGTAGGTCGGTGGGTTGGTAGCATGGACATTGCTCTTTCAGGAGAAGCGGAAAGAAGCCGAAGCCAATCTGGATTGGCAGTTTCGGCTGAAGCGCAGCCTGGAGGATCGAGATGGCAGCATAGGCTAGGACTTGCAGGTATGACAAGGCTGGCAGGTGTGCTTGAAACTTGGAGGACGCGAGTGAAAGAGCTGCGAAGTTCAAAAGCTTGGATGTGTGCTTCGTGTTGGACTGCACCCAGTCCATGCAGCCTTTCATCGATTCTGTCAAAGAGCGGATCATGGCAATCAACGGGCAGATCGAGAGTCCCGCCGCAGTTTGTTGCGGGTGAAGGCCTCGCTCGTTGTTTGCAGGTTACTTAGCGCTGGTAGGTTCGTTCCAAGCAGTAGCATCTGAGGAAAAGGTTGAATGGAGGAGCTGCCGTGAGGTATGCCATGGTTTATTATCGAGACTTCGACTGCGTCGATCATCATCCTGTGGTATGTCCATTTGGGGATGTTCTTTCCTGCAAGCGCTTCCTTGATGGCGTCCGAGCACAGGGTGGTGGGAACTGGTGCCTTGGCTACTCTGAGCGTTCCAGACTTCGTTTGAGCATACGGCATGGGATACACTGATGGTGCTGCGGGCCAAGGTGTGAGGATGTTCTGACGGGGTTGAGAGCAGCCGTGAACTTGGAGTGGCGAGGACATATGCGCCAGCTTTTCCTTATTGCCCAGACACCGAACCACGGGCCGCGCTTTCATGACAAAAGTCCAGGAGAAAGTTTCGCAGAGGGTCCTGTCAAGCTCTTCAACTACGACGACCATTATGACGTGAAAACGGACGAAGCAGACAGGATTTTGAAATCCATGGCCGAGAAGAGTATTCGCTTGCAGTGCCTGGAGATCTCGGGATCCACGGCAAAGATGTTTGAGGCATTCGAGTCCGTTTACAACAACAAGGATGAAGGGCTTGTCATGAAGGTTCACAGCATGACTTCTGACTCGGAATCGATGTTGTCCACGATTGTCAAGGCATCGTGGAGTTCAGTGCAAGAGTCCATGACGCAGACCTCGGCATTACTTGTGACCGCAAAGGACGTGTGGCAAACTGAAAAAAATTAACCTGCGACCCAAATATCGATTGGGACAGGCGGGCCGGGTGGGAAATGTTTGAAGCCACAATAGAGTCCATCGAGGTCGATGCTGCGGTGGAATTCGACCGGGTGCAAGATGACAGTCACCATGACTTCAAGATCCACAAAGTCACGACCAACGTGTGGATTGCACCGAAACCCTTCAGCCGGGGAGCCATGCGTGCTGCCCGGGCAGTTTTCAACGAGACCACCAATGAGCAGTTGGTGGCAAACCGCTACATGAACCCTGACCCAAAGTATAACTCTCGTGAGGCCTTAATGGGAGACCTTCGATCACAAGCTCTGGCGAAAAGCATGACCGAGCGGTTCAACCGGCGAAGACCCCATGAAGCTCCACTTTATTTTGTTCATTCGTCCCTCATGCGCATCACTGACGCGGGCAGCGAGAGGCTTATGACGGTGGAGCCCTTCATCGTGGGAGAGTACCGTAAGGAGACTAACAATGCGAGCTTCGTGCGAGAGGGCTCTGACGTTGTTTACTCACTTCACACATGATGTGTCAGGTGGGGACATAATGGTTGTGGACATACAGGGGGTGCGCGAAGCTTTGACAGATCCACAAGTTCACAGTGAGCGCAAAATCTTTGGACGAGGGAACATGGGCCGAAAAGGTTTCGATTCTTTCTTTATGGTTCACCAGTGCAACCACATTTGCAAGTCCCTGCGGCTGAAGCCGAATCCTCTGCAAGTATGTGACATCCCACTCGAGAGCTTCGTCTCTTCCTGCCCTTAGAACCTCGGAAGATAGATGAGACGCGGGGATTTGGAGTATCATCTAAAAACTGTGTGTAGTTTTAACCCTGATCCGGAGCTGAGGAGCATCTACTACGTCCGCAAGTCAGCTGCAGCCGTGTTGCGAGAGCGGAAGCAGGATCCAGTGTGGATTGCGGGTCTGCAGTTTGCTTGGGAACCTCACCGTAATGTGCCCGTAGTTCTCGCCACTCGGATGATGATTGTGTTTGTAGTGCATTCACTAGCCGTGTGCGTTGCCAATATTTTCGGGCAACCGAGGCAGTGAATGGCAGGGTCACTGCGCATGTCGAAACACGGACCGGCAACCGCCGGATTGGCTTGCGTTGGTTGCAACTGACGGACCAGGGCAGCACACGGCGAGACTGGCTGACGGACGTGCAAAAGATTGCGGCATACGACGAGGGCAGACAGTACGAGTTTTGCACATCCCGCGATCTCGAAGTAGGACAGGGTTTCTAAAAAGTTTGTTGCGGTGTTCTTCATACACGCATGTTTTGCAAGGACACGTCTTGACAACAGTTGACGGCATACCGACGGAAGAGCTCGGCAGAGAGGCAACACTTCAGCACCTGTGCCGCTGCAGTGACGACTCCGACACAACACGGGAAATTTCGACTTGCTTCGGAGGTCCGTTGAATTCTACAGATTTCCAGAAGCTGATGCCACTGGTTTCAGCAAAGGAGACCAAGAAAGAGATGCAGGTCGATGCGCCAGAAGAGAATTTGCTCCGATGGCCTTGTCGCGCCAATTGTGGATCGTTTGCAGAGCGCAAGCTGAACTACAATGGGGCCTTTCCGAAAGGAGTGTTTTGCTCCAAGTGCAGCCAAAAGCGCCGTGACAGCTGGCATGCGCGGGTTTGCCGAGCAGTGAACTGCGAAAACTACGTGAAGTACCACGTTTTTGAGCTCCAGGTTTTGATCAAGCCCGAGCCGGAGCTTTGCAGTGCATGCAGCAAACTGGAAGGTGTGGTGCACAAGGAGGGCTAGGACCTGTGGCGCATGAAGAAGTGCCAGGAGTGCAGGCGGCAGATGGAGTTTTATTTGCCAGACGAGCCTGTGGCTTGCAGCCACTGTGCCAGGAAGGCGCCAGTTTCCAGCGCGGGAGAAGTTGCTTCGGTTTCCGCCATGGAAGAAGTTGTTTCGGATACAGACAGCGAACCTGAAGATTCTGATGCTGAATGGTCGCTCGTCTCTGAGTCCTGGCCGTCAGTTGCAGAGTATCTGAGCAAGGAAGTGTGCGAAGAATGCTCTGCACAAGTCACCCAGGAAGGCCTGGAGTTCACTTGCCAATCTGCCAAGCATTGCTTCTTTCTCTGCGGGTCCAAGAGCTGCTGGAAGAAATTCGAGAAAAAATGTGAGGATGCGGCCGGGAAAAGGGGCAAGAGCGGCAAGAAGAAGCTTGACTTCGCGCAGCATCGAGGTTGCTCGCCTTGCCCTTCTTGTGGTTTACTCCTCACCGAGGGCCCGGTGAAACGCGAGCAAGAGTGTTTGATTTCCGGTACTGGCCCGACTTGCTTTCCCTACAACACACTGCTGATCGTGCCCGGCCCGGATGGGGCACTCAAACCCATCCAAACCTTCCGTCCGAACGACACGCTCATCTCCGCACAGGGTCACGCCGTGAGGGTGAAGGCAATTCAGCTGTCCGAAGAGGGAGACCAGGAGCGCACCACAGCCTTCTGTCGGTAAATTCCTGGCCAGACGAATTGAATTGAGTGTGCAGCCTGCAGGAGCTTCTTTCCTTGCAGACCGAGAATGTGCTCCAGTTGCAATGGGTGCATGGGAGACAGTTGCCGAGTGTTTGTGTGTTTCCCATTCTGCTGGCTCTGGCTCGTAGCACTGAGGCCAGGCTCATCGTAACGAGGGGCCATCGAGTGATGGTTGAACGTGGAGACCGCCCACAGCCCCTGCAGGCGGCTGCGATTCAACTTGGAGACCATGTTCTGATCTCGGGAGGGGGCAAAGAAAAGCTGCTGAAGAGCGAGCTCGTGACGATTCGCACGGTGTCGGTGGATCTGGAAGTGATTCCAAATGAGCCTTTGCTGGCTTTTCCACCGCTGCCGGAGGCGATCCAAAGCATGGGTCGCCAGCAATCTCGCACAAGACGAGGCCGCCCACCGGCAGGCAACGAGACAGAAGAAGGTCAGCCTTCCCAACACAGATGACGGGTTTTTGGACTTTAGACTGGACCAACTTATCCCAGGTAGGCTGGCAGAGGCCAGCTGTGGACTCTAGAGAGCTTTGTGCACAGCTATGGCTGGTGCCGAAGCTCGTCTTGAGCGGCTGCTTCATTGCTGTACAGTTTGTGCTGACCACTTATGTGCCTGCTGCTCCGATCCCATCGATGGCAGCGGAGGCATAGGCCACAGCAGTTGCCATTTCCATTCCAACAATAGCGCTTCAGGCATCGAAGGCATTTGGCTGCATGCTTCTTTGCAGGCCATCATTGTATTGAAAGCGGACAGTTCGAGAATGGCCAGCCTTCGTGTCCCGTTTATGAGGATTCTGTGCCTGGGCCACTGTCGCCAGAAGCCTCTGCCTTGTGCACAGCTACGGCTGGTGCCAGGCTCTGCTCTGCTTTCTGGAAACTGGGCCACTGGTGCAGATGGTCGGACGAAAAAGGTGCATCTTCCCCTTGCGCGCATCCGGTACTGGTGATGACCGCATTCAACCCGGCGGACATCCAAAAGGGTCTCATGAAGACCGAGATGTGTAGATGCGGAGCTGGGGGCTCGCGCAGCAATGTCACATGTCATGAACCAACCAACTATCCTGAGTCGACTCTCGCTTATATGCTTTGTCACAGGTGCTTTTATGCGCCATTGGGCCGAAGTGAGCACAGGCTTCGTTTTCGCTGAAGGCATCTATGGTCCGTGGCAATCCTGCTTCTCTACTACAGATGTCAGGTTCAAGGCACCTTCAAACAACGAAATGTAAGGAAGAGTCGATCACTGTCTGCAGCTGCTATCACTCTGGACGACGTTACCGCCGTGCAACAGATCAAGTACTCTGAGTAGGTGTCTTGACATGAAAGGAGCAGAACATGCCGCTTATTTTGCGACCAGTCCCAGTTGGGCTTGAGTATGGAGACTGTTAGCTGGCTCCGTCCAAAGGCATTTGTTTTCAACCTGCTGTTGATGAGTTTGAAATCCGACCAGGTAACTGAAGTGAGCTTTCTGGAACCTGAGCCAAACCTTCTCCGAGCAGATGGCAAGCACAAGCGACAGGGAACCGCTGACGGACGGCGCTTCCGCAGCAGGTGCCCGTGAGGCGCAATGATGTGTGAAGCTCGGGGGTGCCGGTGACTGCTCAACAGATTGATTTTTGAGGTATCTGCCCCGAAAGAGAAACTCGCTGCAATGTTGGGCAAGGCCACCGAGCCCTGGTTCCACTGCTCTCAGTACTATAGGCTTCGGGTTTTGTGTGGGCCAGTGGCCACCACATCGCTTGTCCGTGTGTGTGCGACTACGACGACGACACCACCCAGTATTTTTGTTCTTGCTTTGGCTACACTAGAAGCTGAAACCTTGCTCCGACTACGCCTGAGACCTCGCCTGGATTGCCCGAGATGTGAGAGTGTATACACCCTTGTGCGAGCGTGCGAGTCGAAAATGTGAGACAGCTATGTTCATGTCCCCATGCTGCATTCGAACTGTTACCTCTTGTAGTGCCGAGGCGAGCCGAGAGACCTCGTCTGGCTGTGTCCGAGTTGCGAGAGTGTAAACCCTGACTCGAGCGAGGCCTCGCCTACATCGTTCGAGTCGCGAGAGTCCAAAGCCTCCGAGCCCGAGCCCTTGAATCCCTAGCCATGTCTTAAGTCCAGCAGACCCTTCTTACGGCCCCGACCCCTCAAGTCTTAAAGCCTTACCGCCTTACCTTGAGCCCCCCTCAAGCCTGAGCCGCTTCACGGTCAGGTCATGGCCATCGGCTCCTGCGGCCAAGGGCATGATCGACAGTAAGGAGCGCGCTCACGTCCATCTCGTCAAAGCTGGAGAGACTGATGAACTCATGCTGTGATCCACAAAGATCCAGGTTCAAAAGGGTTTGGGATTGTGAATTTACATTTGAGAAGGGATACAGTGCTTTGCAGTCCCCTGCTTAGCTTTGAGAATTTAGAGTGTGGCGCTTGGAGGTTTGGATTTTCGGGCCGAGCTCCTTCACAACACTTTTTTCATTTGCGGCATCGGTGAGAGCCCATGCAACACCACGGCACGTGTCTAGACTCTTTAATACCCGCCGCGACGCCCCAAAGCACCGCCCAACTCTAGAACTGGCAGCCCTAAGCTCCTGTTCAGGAGCTACAGACTGTGGAGTGCCACACTCTTCGGAGCCAAGCCCTGGGACTCTGAAATTCAGGCAAGAACAGTGGCAGCATTGTTGCAAAAGCTGCCCTGCAGTCACGTGTGCGGCATGCTTGTCTGCACAGTCTTGCTCAAGTGTTGGCCCCTTAGTTGTAAGTTGTGAGCTCGGTGCGAAACGATGCCGAATGGTGGTCGCCGCCGCGCAGACTACAGCTATGGACGGTGGGATCACGGTGGCTATTGGCAGTGGACGGCAAGTACTCGCAGGCCTTCGCGAAGCCCGCAGAGAAACACTCGTTGTCAGTTGCTTCTTTATTCAGACTAATCTCCTTTCTCCTCCACTTTCACGGCCCTAAGGCCTAAGATATCTCCAGATACTTCAGGCTTTTACGAGTCCTGCCCAAGGGCCGTGGCACCGTAGGGCTTGTGCCAGGCGAGAACGGTGGGCAAGTGCTTCGGCAACGGGAAGTTTCAACATGAACCGTGCCCAGCAGCTCCTTAGCCAGCACCGCCTCGCAGGCGAGGAGCTCTACAATCAGGCATTCTGTGGCAAGATGCCGGAGACGTCCTTCGCGGCGATGGAAGAGTACGTTCAGGAAATGCCACGCACGGCATGGAACACGATGCATGTAATGCCTATGTACGATGCGTTCGGATGCGGGGAAAGGCCCCACTTCATCAACGTTCCAGAGGCAGCTCCTCCGTCGCCCTCGACACCAAGTAATGACGTTAACATCATCATGGAGAGTATGCGCCTCCTGCAAGCCATGGCACCTGAGCAGGCCGCAAAAATCTTAACCGATACAGCTGCCCTGCAGGGGCCTTATGAGGACTGAGCAGCGCGCTCTTTTTATATGCGACCTTGTACATTTGTGGTAACCCGTTGTGGTACCGTTGCTGTGTGCACTAATTCAGCGAAGCCATGACATTTGCCTGGATTCAATCAACCATGGGCCCAA